GTTAACGATTTTTCTTGTATAATTTGATTTTTTAATTTAAAAAAATATAATTTTTTCGTTATATATGTATATGTATCTTTATACTAATGTTTTTTTTTCTCAATTCTTAAGAATTTTTAAATAAAATGTCTTATTAGTACTCACATTTAATTGCGCAATATCATTTTTCAATCGCGTAATCTCCTTCATAGCCTCATCCAGTAGTGAAACATCGCCCATCATCGAATCAGCCAACTCTAATGAAGCGCTCGGCTCAGCCAATAACATTTGTAGTGATTCATATTCTTCTACACATTTCGCTAATTTCTCTTCTATGGTGGTGAGTTCTTTCTTTTTCTTCGGAATATCCACTTCCAGTTTAGTCACGGTTTCTACGACCGATTTCATATGTAATAGATTTTCATATTTCTTCTGCTCTGCTTTCAAAAGCTTTTCTGTGCGTTTTATATTCTCTGGCAAACGATTTATCTCATCAGATAATTCCAAGGTAATATCGGAGGCCTTCAAACATAAAACCGAAAATATAATTAAACTAAAATATGTTAGCAATATTTAATCATATTGACATGCCTCATTATCAGTCATATCTTTATGACATAGCGGGCAGCACGGCTCCTCTGTGACCTTTTCTATGTATCTGTAATGACGTGTAATAAATATTTTATAAAAAAAAAAAAAAAAAAAAAATATATAAAAAATATATATAAAATAAAAAATAATAAAAATAAATAAATTAATTTAAAAAAATAAATAAAAAATAATAAAAAAAAATAAAAAATAATAAAAATAAATTAATTAATTTAAAAAAAAAAAAATAATAAAAATAAATAAATTAATTTAAAAAAAAAATAAAAAAAATAAAAATTAAAAAAAAATAAAATAATAAAAAATAAAATAAATAAAAATATATAAAAAAAAATAAAATAAAAAATTAAAAAAAATAAATAAAAAATAAAATTAAAAAAGAAAATATAACAATAACAACTACAAAATAGCACTTACTTTTTATACATGGCTTCGGCAGAGAGCAAGGCGCCATGTTCCAATTGATATTTCGCCATGGTGGCTTTGCTTTTAGCTAGCGTATCCTCGTACGTTGCTGCATGACACGCTTCGTAAACCTTCTCTTTTGACTCTTCCAGTTCTTTTTCTAATTTCAGTAATTCTGCTTTTAGGTTTTTACGCTTTATCTCACACGACTGTTGTTCCAATTGTAGTTTATTGGATTTTCCGTTCAGCTCCTTAATATTATCACGTAATTTCTCGCTGCACAATTGCATTGCGCGTTTATAGTTGAACTCTACGGGACGTGAGAGCAGTTTCTTAAAGTTGTCTGCATGTTTACCTTTTACACGTCTTACGTCCTGCTCTTTCTTCTCCAACTCTTTTTGTTTCAGCGTTATCTCAGCCGTTAGCTTGGACATCATATTCAATTTGGTTAGACGCTCATCTAATTCACGAAATTGCTCTTGCAGTTTTACTATTCTCGTTTTATTCTCAGCAATGTCAGCTCGCATGGTTTCCTGATTGCATTTACCATTCATTTCGTCCATCATTTTCATAAGGCGTTCAATATTTTCCGATAAAATTTTTATACGCCGCGCAGAGCTCTCTATTTCGGTAATCTCTTTGGTAATAGTTGACAATTCCTTTTCATTCAGGTTTTTTTGTTTTTCATATGCGACAACGCCTTCTTCCACTTTAGTGAGTTCCACGCGCTGCGTATCTATTTCTCGCTGCCGTTCATTATCATCTTGATCCGTTTGCGCCACACTCTCCGTGATGCTGCACTCTTTATTTACCAGTGAGTTTTCGATTTTTTCCAATACACCAGGCACACTTTCAGGTTGAAATTCTAAATCCTCGGTAAGTGTAATACCTAATTGTTGACAAAGTGTTTTTAACTGTTCGGCACGTTTCGAAATACATTCTTGTTCTTTTTGCCTTTGTTGCATTAGCAGTATGCGTCTTTTATCCAAATCCGTAAAGGTTTTTTGTAGTGTTTTTTCTTCTTGCCTCAAAACGTCCACTTTTTTGTCAAGCACATTGCGGCGTTGACGTTTTTCAAGCATTTTTTGACCAAAATCACAAATTTCTTGCTCCAATTCTTCGCGACTACCTTCGTATGGCACTTTTATATTACTGCTTAATGCCAATATTTGCTCCTGACAGTTCTTTTGCCTGTGTTAGTTTTATTTAGGATGTGACAAAATATGTTTACTATTTTTAATTGTACTTACTCGGTTTCGATTTCGACCTTTTTTGATTGATGCTTGCCAACTTCATATTCGACGTTGCGTATTTCCGTCAAACGTGCATCGATCGGCTTCATTTCTTCCTCACAACGATCGCACTCTTGCTCTATAGCTGCACACTTCTCTTGGGCCTTCTTCAAAGTTAACGATTTATCATCCATTTCTTGCTTTAAATGCGCAAGAAAGCGTAAATCCGCTTCTGTTGAATATTTTCAAGCAAAAAAATAAATATGTTTAAAATTACCATGACATAGCATAGAAAAAACAAATAGCTTAAAAAAGTATAAAATGTCGTACCTTTGACTTTTAAGTTTTCTGCCTCCTCTTTGCGCATTTTTATTATACGTTCGATTGTTTTATTAAATTCAGTTATGCCGAATATGGCATCGAATTTATCTTTCAACTTTTTAGACTCGTCCAATGGCCAACTAGAATTCTCCTGATGACAAAACAACACATTATTGATTATAGCTTTAGACACACCTGTAAACAAAATATTATTCAAAATCAAACCGATTTCCAATAAATGTAGCAAATTACCCATAAACTGACACATAGCCACATCGACATCAACACAACGCTTACTAATGGAATTCGTAGAGCCTTTGCCATCAGCTTTATCATCTATATAGTTCATAGTCGCATCTAGCGTTTCAAATGAATATTTACCACGTTTGTTGGATATTTTCATAGAGCGACAAACGGATAAGCGTTTTCCTTGCAGATTACTAACTTCCAATTTGATTTGACCCAAAGTTCCAGCTTGATTAAATATTTTTGGATCATGTACAAAACTTCGACCGTGGTCACCACCAGGCGGCACTTCACCAGTGAGACCATATTTAAGGCACTCTATTATTGTGGTCTTGCCGCAACCATTTTCACCAAGAATCAGTGTAACCGGCGAGGAAAATGTTATAGTCTAGGGAAATAGCAGTATTCGAAAAACAAATAGTTTAAACAAAGTTATGAAAAGCAGCAGCTTGTATACAACGAAGTAGCACGCACATTTTATATTTTTTACACTTGTTTTCCATAAATGCGGTTCTTACCTGAACATCCTCCGAATTGGAACCAAAACTACGTATACCTTGTATGGATAATTTTTCAATAGTGGACATTTTTACAGAGGCGCAAAATTTCACAACAATTCAAAAACAAATAGCAACAAAATAAAATGTAAAATTGCGACGTTTTGCCGGTTACGTATGGTAAGGTGGCCAGATGTTTATGCACAAGTTTATTTAAAAGAAATTGTCACTTAAGATAAATAAATCAGTGTTTGGACTTTAAGCAAACAAATTAAATTTTTTTAATTGTAAAGAAATCGGGAAGTAGTTTTAACACACATTCTGAAAAGGAAGTGTAAATAGATTTTGTAGGTGACAGACCAAATTTACAGTTTTTAAATCATTGTGAATGATATGGTTTTTATTTTATGAATGCATTTGTTCACAATAAATTTTAAAAAAATTGTACATATGGTCAAAAACAGTTACCGGAAGCGTGTATTAAATAACCGCAGAAATACAAACGTTTCTGACCAATTTTCAAATTATCAAAATCATTTAAAATTAAGAGTGTTTATTTTTACCATAAAAATAAAATTAGTGTCAAGTAAAATTATTGTCGGTAAGTTTACGTAAATTGTCGTGGCTTTAATAGCAATAGCCTCCAAATGGCAGTTTAAAGAACTAAACACTTTCAGATTGTCAACCATTAGTTGCACCAACGAGAACTAGTGTTGCTTAAACTAGTAGTATGTGTTAAGCTTCAAAATAGAAGTATACTTCTAAACACGATTTGCAATAAGTTTCAAATCAATGTTTTCTTACCGACGAGTGTATGTATTTTGTTATGTGTGTATATTTATTGTTATTTTGAGTTTTAATTTCCATTTTCAATTCAACGATTATTCGTACATGAGATTATCATTTGTTGTTATAAATACTTATAATTCTAGTTAAACTTGAAATATTTAGTTCACTTCATTTAAATCAATTATGTATGTATTTATTATTATATTTCTTTACAGAGGCATACTCATAAAGGTATTTATATATATTTATGTATGTATGTATCTAAACATGGCAATTTGCAAAATTTACGCACTCAAAAAAGTTAGCTTCCCTTATTTATATACAAACACTTTAATGGTTTGCACACCTTTTGACACAGCTTTTTTCTATCAGCAATTTTAGGCATAAATTTGTATGTTTTTCCTTTTTCAACATTTGTATTAATTTTTTTTAGCTTTATTTGTAATCTAATTGCCACGTGTTGTTATTATTTTACTTATGCTTTGTTTAGAAATTTGAATAAAAATGTATAATAAACGAATAAAACTCATATTCATTTTAAGTAAACATAACAAACTTCGAAGTTAAATAATATAAGTATGTATGTATGTATGAATGTATATTAAAAAAATAGTTCGTCAACAGCCGTAATAAAGCAATAACGATAATAAAAATTAAAGTTTTCCCAAAAATATCTGTTTGTTGAAACGCATTACTGCTTAAATGATATGCCACGGGGGAAAGTAAGTTTGTTAATTTTTGCTTCTCGATTTTCATACAGATTCTGGTTGCATAATATTTTTCCCTAACTACCTGTAGCATATCACTTTCAAAGGAACGCAAACCAAAATGGAAATACAAAATAGCAACCATAATTTAATAATAACATGTATTGTAGAATATTTGCATATTGAGATTATTAACACTCTTCAAGAGTTTCATAAAATATTATTAATATTATGTTATATATTTTCAGCAGCAGCTTTTATTATGACAATCGCAATGAAGATGTATAGTTTTTTTTTTTTAATTTAATGTTATAAAAACAAAGATATACTCTTTCAACAAACTCAAAAAAATATATATATGTATGTATATATGTAATAAAAGTATATGTTAAGGCTACGCATAAATATGTATAGTAGGTGAAATCAGTACAATTGAATTTCTACAATATGTACACACCAAACTTTTCATAACCATGAATGTGTATGTATAAATGGATGTTCGTATGTAAATTATACATAAATGTCAAATATGTGTATGCGTGTGTATTTATGTTTGGTAGAATAATATTATATAACTACGTCTATATAACGCAACCAGTACACTAGTTAACAAATGAAACATTGGTCAGCCGTAATGCTAACATTATAGGGGGTAAACAATATGTTTATGCATATGCATAATTACATACATTGGAAATATGGAAAACGAAGCAACAAAAAATAAACTTTTCGAAATCCATTTAATGGCTATGTCTGTCCATTATTTTTTCACAAACTGATACGGCGGCAATGACGAACGGTATCGTAAATTATTTACGTTATTCGATGGTATGCCACTATTTATGGCTGAACCACGCCCACTATAATTTGATGTATTTGGCATCATACCCGATGGTGAAGCATTGACAATAGCTTGTGGTGGCATTGTCGAGTGCATTAAGTTTGAGCGTTGGGCAGCTGTAAAATATTAAATATGTATATGCATATATAAATGTGCGGCATAAAAACATTTATTAAATACATATTATCGAGTATAAAAGCCATTATTTTCACCTGGCACATAAGGTTTTGGTTGGTGATAATTGTTGTTATGCGAACGGTAATAAACAGTCTCATCATTATAATGGTAGTTAAATTGCTGTTGATATTTAGGCCTAAAAAGAAGATGGTGTTAATAATTTTTTTGGTGTGTTTCTGTTTCGAATTAAAATTATAATTGTGCAAAAGTACTTATGAAAATATGTTGAATATTCAGTGATTTATTACCTATACATGCCGCTGCTTCCAGCTGAACCACCTGAGCGATGATTTGAATTATTGTTGTTGCCGCCAACTGAATGAGCGTTATTTTGTTGTTGTTGCTGCTGTTGCTGTTGTTGACGTGTGGTAATTTTCTTAGCAGCTTCAGGATCTTCCATTAGCTCACGAAATTGCTCTTGCCGTATGTCATCGTGTTTGTCCGGTATTAAATAACGTCGAATTTCTGCTAAAGCGTAGGCAATGCGTGCATATGCTTCAGCTGGTGGGGCAACGGTTGACACTTCAACATGTAACGGTAAATTAAGATGAGCGTATTTGGCATCAGCCGAGTTGCGCAACTCCTCTTCGCGAACACGATCTTTCATTGAAAAACGTCCAAGTATCACAATTTTACATTGTGTTTCCTCTTGTAGACGTCGCAATGAGTTTCCCTTTGGTCCAAGCAATTTCCCAACGTAATTAAACTACAAAGATGATAATCACAAAAAATGTAATTAAATGTATAAATAACATAAATACAAAAATATTTTACAAACCTTTTTATCTTTTATGGGAACATGCACCTTTTGTGACAGTCTAATAGTCCTTTGCTGATAAACATCTGCATATTGCTCACGCGTAGGTATGCGTCCATTCAGCTGGATGCGTTCCAGAGCTGGAGGAAAAATATTTGTATTAAACATTATATTAATTTGTCTGTCTTATTATTACTTACCTTCATCGATCAGCTTCACTGCTAAAGGAAAGTGATTTTCCATACGTGCTCGCTCAGCGAGTAATTCTTGCATATACTTTTGTGCAGTCTCGTTTAATCGCGGCGTGCTCTTAATATTTTCTTGGCCTAACTCGTGCTCATGATTTCCATTACTATAGTCGCCAACTTCAGTACCGCTGGCGCCTCCAACACGCATGCCATTTTCCGCCATACCGTTGCTACCCCTCAAAATCGTTTACAATATTTTCACAATATAACTTTAATACAGCTACTTTACGCTTATGCCTGGGTTAGTGCATTTACATAAATTGTATTTTGCTAGCAATTAAATTCACTTATTTAACATAAATAGGAATATTTAAAAAATAGACAACGGCATATATGCTGCAAGGCAGACTGAATACCTGTCAAGTCTTTCATTAATTTTCCTCCCCTTGAAACGGCGAATCATTTTGACATTTTCCATATCATTCGCCGCAAAACCAGAGATGCCAAAATTTAATGCAACCGGAATGCATGCGGAAATGCATTGTCTCCTGATATCAAAATTTTAATACACTTTTTGTAAGAAACAATTGTAACCACATTCATAGAATTATATCAATACAATGCAATAATTATCGAATATCTTGTATTCCAATACCCTTGTAACTGATATAAAAGCAGCCATGTATTTTAACCGGTTGAACTACATGCTCAGTGTTGCCTTTTCGCCGTAAACGATTAATTTGGCAACACTTTTTCAGTCTCCATCTTTTTTCGCAAGGAAAAAATTTAAGCTTGTGAAAATTTGACGAAGGCGGAAAAGTACATAATTTTTGATATATAATTCTTGTGTTGCAAAAAATATCAATTAGTAAATATGCCAAGAGATTACGATCGGGACTACAATGACGATACCACAGATTACAAAAGAAAAAGGCGCACAGACGATGAAGCCGGCGGTGGAAGTAATACGGGAGCTGGCAGTAGCGGCGATATGGATGGGCATGGACGCGGACAAGATCATGGACAAGCCATGCAATCCCATGACGCACCACCATTAAACGAGAAAACAAACTCGTATCTTGAGCAATGTGAGCAAGAAAAGAAGACGCTTGGCAAAGACCACACTGTTTGTAAGCGTTTAATAGACGACGGTAAGTACGTGCATAAATGTGTGTGCACTAGGTGGTGGCACTGACAATATATATGTATCTATATATTTTATATGTACATACGCTTAAAGCTGTTTTTATTTTCAGAAATTGAGAAAATTTTAGTAAGCGGACGCATACCAAAGCCAGAAATCTACGCAAATGTATATAGCGAAAAACCAATACGTGTTGCACAGAAAGTATTATTCCCGATTAAAGAATATCCGAAATTTAATTTTGTTGGTAAAATTCTGGGACCAAAAGGCAATACATTGCGCCAACTACAAGAAGAGACATTTTGCAAAATGGTCGTTATGGGACGTAATTCCATGCGCGACCACGCTAAAGAGGAGGAATTGCGAAACTCTGGAAATCCAAAGTACGCACATCTTAGTCGTGATTTACATGTTGAGATTTCAACTGTAGCACCACCATCAGAAGCATATCATCGCTTGGCATATGCTTTGGCTGAAATTCGAAAGTTTATGATACCGGATGCCAATGACGATATACGCATGGAACAAATGCGTGAAATGGATGGCAAAGAGCGTATGTACAAAAAAACTCATTACTCGAAATCATACGGTGAGCACGCTGTTTATAGCTGTCGGTGAGTTTATGTAAAAATCTGATCACTGATTTAATTTATTCATAAGTGCGTATTAACGATATACATTTTATTGGTTCCGTTGTTAGAATTTAGGTACGTTGAAAGGTGAAAAAAGCCTTGAACCTGCGTTTAATAATAACATTTAAGCGTTCATCAATTTTTGCTGTCTGTGAAAAAATGCTAATTGAATTTTAATTGCTATATATTACAGTACTCCGCCACCACCTGCATTTGAAAAATCATCTAAACCAAAGGTGTACTCGATTTTAGAAAAGGCACGTTATGTTATGGAGGATCCAGGTTATGGTCTAGTAAAATCTCACAGGTATGAATATTTACTTATATGCAACAATTTTTTTTATACTTCGTATATTTATATAGATCACGTGATCATGAATTGTACGAGCATCATGGCGAATATGATCGTTATACGCCACCACCACCATCGAAACATTCAAGTACTCATCATGCGCCATACGAAAGTGGTTCGTATGAACGTGACTATCGTCGCGAGTATCATCCGCACTCATCCTCATACACAGCTGCATATCCAGGTAAGTCGCGAATCAAATACATACCTAACTATTAAAATTAAACCGAAAAATTACACGTTTTAATGGAAGCAAAAAAAATACATATATTTACAATAAAGTGATTGATTATCACAAGCAATCTTCGTTAAAACACTATTATAAACGCGTAATATACATGTTAAAAATACCGTAGCTAATTCATATAATACCAACATGAAGATCTTGTTAAATACAAACTACGTGAAACAAAACGAATTTAAATAAAGTGCAATTAAAGTAACTCAGGACAAAGTAAAATGCGGAACTAACTATAAATGAAATGTATTTAATACATGAAAACCTACAAAAAATATAATAAGTATTTTTTTTAAACAATAATAAAGAACTTAAAAATCTCACTGAAATTTTCAACTCTTTACACATTTTCTATATAAATTTATCAAACAAAGACTCAAAGTAACGCAAAAAAAAAAACCAAAAGACGACTTTATTAGAAAAACGTTTGTTCCAAATTTAAATGTCATAAGTTATTTAAATTCGTTATACCTATGCCAAATTATAATAATTGAAATTATGAAAGAAAACCAAAGGAAGTTGGAGTTTAAAAAACAATATAAACAGAGTAGCTTAAAAAATTAATTTAACCAGCCTTTAAATACATATTTCAAATCCTTCAAAACACATAGATATAACGAAAAAACACAAAATTCTCTCCAAATTAGCTAAACCAAGCAACGGTCGATCTTCATCGTCATACCGACCTGCAACATCGGGATCGCACTCCTCCTCACACTATGAAGCAGGATCTCGCTCACGCGGAGAAAGCGTACGTTATCGTTCGGCCCCATATCCGAAATTACGTTAAAAATGTAAATATAAAAAGTATTTTACACGACAAGAGAACAACACTTTTCAAAATGAATTAGACTACCAACCAACCGTATTGCAACAAAAAGAGAAAAACAGAAACAACAATAACAATATGTGTTAGTTTAATATATTAAATATCAAATATCTAAATAAACAAGAAAGAAAAAAAACAAAAGGATACATATATAAAATATAAACGTACAGAGGTAGAAAATATATTTGAAAGTAAACAAATAAACAGCATAATGGTATTTAATTGTTAATATCAAATCTTACAATTATTCGCAAAAGAATTAAAGTATCGCGTATACAAAAATTTTAAGCAAAACAACAAGGAAAAATCATATAAGGAACAAATTTAATCTTTAATTAAAAAGTCATTAGTGTATATTTTACAAAATACAAACGTTATCATAGTAAAGAAAATAAAAATTTTAATTGAGACAAACAACAAAAATTAAAACAAATAATATAGACATGTAAAACTCATTTAAATAAAACCAATCATCGACAACTTTGGAAACTATGACTTAATTAAAAAGAATAATAATAATAGAAATAAGAAATACAGGAAACTATTCAGAATGTGTGTGCAGTGTTAACATTGGAACGTAAGTATTTGCCGCAGCCAATTTGAATCGAAAAACTATTAAGATAGTGTTAATGATTGTACTACATACCATAATAACAAAAAATAATAAAGACCAGACTTAATTAAAAATTCACATGTTAGGAGACAGAAAGATACATATTATTTTAAGTATTACACTAAAAATCTAAAAATAAATGACAAAAAAACAACACGTTAGCTGGTTTTTATTTAAAATTTCAAAAGATGGGGTAAGTCTTAAATTAATACAGTATTTTATTATTTACTAGCAGTAAGGAAATGATTAAATAAAAATACAAAATTTGGAGTAAAGCTCAGTTCAGGAAGCTGTAGAAAACCCGCATTGTTACCAAGTGCTGTACTGTTTCCACTAGATATACATGTATATAATACAAATATATGGTTGATTTATAAGAGAACAGGAATCAAGTCATAAGTCATTTCCTTTCACTAAATCTATTAATAATCACAAATTTTTTTTTTTTTATCAAATTTACACCACTTCTACGTTATGCAGCATAAATGAAGTACTCGATACTAAAAATTCATTGCGCCATCTAAAAACATTAGGCTATCCACTGAAGATATAGCCAAGTCTACATCACGTTTCTGCATTGTTTTTTTCTTCGACTGTGTTGTGTATGAAAAGGCCTCTCGCGCCAACGATTCTATAAAAAGTTCCGTTGATCGTGTCACAACAAATACAGCTTCCGTCGAAGCAATATTCATGTCGGGATCTAATTTCATTAAATTCCTGATACGTGTTAGTGGTAACTGGAATAGGCGCACTTCTGGTCCACCATTTTCACTGGTTGCAGCCACCTTTTCTAAGTAGTAAAAATAAGTATACATAGAGATATATGAAATTAGAGCATGTACCAAGTATTTACCGGCCGTAGCCACTTCTGCTATATCGGCACTTTCTGTTTCGATTTCTTGAACTTCAGCCACAATTTCTGATTCTTCATCCACAATATCCAACGGCTCCTCCTTATCATCTTGCTTGCCAAGGATTTCTTCAGACAATTCTGCACTAAATAATTCCTCACTAGCCATTTTTTGAAACCGCGTAAAATTCTTAATAGCTCATCAGCTGATTATTAGCAAATAAAATGTTTTAAGAGTTACCATTATCACAAAGAGATATCCAGATTTTCATCTCTAGCTCAGGATTAAATTATAAATTTTTTTTTTATTTATTTAATATATTAATAAAAAAAATTTCAATAACCAGCTATGATATTCAATAAGAGAAATTAACCTTATATATAAAATTTAAATAATTTTTATTAGTTTGCCTGAGACGACGGTAAGTGGCACTGTTATCACCGTTCACAATAGCACTATTTTGGAATATACAAAAGAACATTGTGTTTTCCAAAGTATTTGCAGAGAGTGTGTATTTTACATTCTCTGGTATTTGTATATCAATTGAAGTTTTGACAATACAGTTTAATATACAATTAAGAAATAAATATATTTCAGAAAAATCATCAAATTGAACACGACCAAAAATGTCATTGAGATGTGTTTATCAAACTTTGTGCACTGAATTTTATGAAACAAAAGAGTCAGTTGTTAAAATAAATTTACGAAATATTTTGAAATAAAATTAAGCTTTTAATATATGTATATACTCGAAATTACTCGTATATATGAATACATTGTGACCGTCGAACATATGAGTATTTTATAACATTCACAATGGCATGGATTGGTGAACCGCAGAAAACTCACCAATTTTTGTAGTCCTTTTTGCGAATTTTGAATACATTCATCAGTTTGGTCATTGTTGGTTGATTGTTGGAAAAATCGAAGCGGTGAATCGGAATCGGGAAAGACGTCGGACGTTGCATTTTCCGACAATTAAAAGTTATTATTTTTTGTTAAAGGTAATAAGCATTATGAGAAAGTTTATATGGTGTGCATATTAAGTATATAAACGAAGTGCAGCAGTAATTGCATAAAATAATACGACGTGAATAATAGTTGGTGGGGGAAATTGCATTGCATCTTGCTGATGTCTGCAGTTGCATGCATAGAAAAATATTTGTGAATGCTAGTGGTGTGCGAAAGTGATGACGAAAGCGGTTACTTTGTATTCACTAATCACTTGTAAAATATATGATTTGTGTTAAAATTGTTGATGTTAATTTAAAAAGGCAACATAAATGTTAAATAAAAACAAATATCAACAAATTTTATTGAAAAATATATATTAATATAACATAACATTAATACAACTTGTGTGTTCGTCCCTTATGTATTCATTTAAAAGTGTAAAGCAATTTAACGGTCCGGTTATTTGCCTCACTTGTCGGCAATTGCATGCATAGACGAAAGATTGATAGGCTAGTGTAAAATGCACTTAATTTTTTCTATATACCGAAGGTGAAAGTGATAGTAATTTGTTGAAAAAGACACCGAAGATTAATAATAAAAAAACCCATTAATAAAATAAATATATTATGTTATCTAAATAAGTGAATAAAATAACACCGGAAATAGCAAAGCAAATAGGAATCTCAAAATTTTTCGTTGTTGTTTCATTTAATTTGAACACACATGCATACATATATAAATATTTTATGCAGATAGGACACAAAATAATTGGCATTTAATATATATGTGCATACATTTTTTTGTGCATATTCCAGATTTACTTTCGTATTAGGTTTCCCCTTCACTTGGCTGATTGTGTCGTAGTTGCTATTCCGTTTATTAACGTTTTGTGAATTGATAACTGCTTTTGGGGGCTGCCTCTCCACACGTTGTTGTGTGTGCAGCGCGAACATTTGTTGTTGTGCGGATGCAAGATGACTGACGTCTACGACGGCAACGGTGACTACGCAACATACAACGATGATGATGACTATAGCAAGCAACGTAAAGGCGGTTGTGTACCGGGAGTAGATCCTCATAATGGTGATAGCTCCAATCATGATCTACACCACCATGTAGGCGGAGTTGTTGGTAGCGGTGGTGGTGGCGGTGTTGTCGGTGGTGGAATGGGAATGATGGGAGGCGGTGGCGAAGGTGGTCAATTGAACGATAAGGCAAACGAATACATTCGTGATTGTATGGCGGAGAAAAATCGTATGGATAGAAAGTTTCCAATTGCCGAAAAACTAATGGACTGTGGTGAGTTTTAGCGGTAGCATCAAATTTTATGATATTGGTAATTTTGGCACATATTTTGGCTAACAATAATACAACTTTTTTAGTTCTATTTGTGTACATACACATACATATGTATGTATTTATTTAGTATGTAAATATATTAGAAATCTTTGAAAATTAAAAAATAATGCAAAAAGATATGGCTAGAAGTTAGCAGGATGAAATATTTGCTGCATATGAATAGTAAATAATTGTATTTTTTTTTGTTATTCACTTAAAATGTATGTATACATCATTTATTAAAGGTCGCGCCGCTTTGTTTACATAAGTTTAACATATAAAAATTTTTTTTTCAGAAATCGAGAAGGTCCAATCGATGGGTCGCATACCGCCTCGCGAACAAAAATATGCGGATATTTATAGAGAAAAACCTCTACGTGTTTCTCAAAAGGTATTGGTGCCAATTCGGGAACATCCCAAGGTAAGTTGTAATATTTTATTTTAACCACAACTAAATACAAATTACACGGAATTGTTTGTAGTTTAATTTTGTTGGAAAATTATTGGGACCAAAAGGAAATTCCTTGCGCCGGTTGCAAGAAGAGACACTTTGCAAAATGACCGTACTAGGACGCAATTCAATGCGTGATCGTGCGAAGGAAGAAGAATTGCGTTCGTCAAAAGACCCAAAATATGCACATTTAAATAGTGATTTACATGTGGAAATCTCTACAATCGCTCCACCGGCAGAAGCTTATGCACGTATCGCCTATGCAATGGCTGAGCTACGCAAGTACTTAATACCTGATAGTAACGACGTTATACGACAGGAGCAACTAAGAGAATTAATGGACAATACAGGCATTTCTGACGATGTCACTAAGTCAGCATATAAAAAAATACCGCATCAGCCGCCTAGTAGTAATCTTGCTGGCGGTGGTGTTGGTAGTGCTAGTGGCGGTTGTGGCACTGGCGGTGTTTTGGGTGGTGCTAGCGGCACGATGGGAGCAGGAGCTGGTGGTACCAATATGTCTATGGGTAAAGGGGCGCCACATCATGCATACAGGTGGGGATATATTATTTTCTAAATAAATCAAAAACTTTAAACAAAATTTATTTCAACAGAACCCCACAATCCACGCAAAATTTGCAATTTAATAAAAATACGGTAGCACCCAAGCAAAAGGTTTTGTCCATATTAGAAAAGGCTCGTACTGCTATGGAAGAAACATATGGGTAAGATTTTTTTCAATATGCTGCTTTTTATGAATTATTAACATTATGTTCATATATCTAATGATTTTTTTTAAAGACGCGGCTACGAAGACCCAATATCATATGAACAGCCCACTTACGATGCTTACCCCTATGGCCATGGACCGAATACTCATGCACATACTGGGCATGTCCCAAGTAATACCGGCATAGGCACAGCAAATATGGCACCGCGTGGACCCTATGATGTTTCCGATTATGAAACTGATTACAATAGAAGAGACTATTATCCCAATTCGTCGAATTTCGGAGGTGCGTTGTATGCAAATAACGTTTACTATCCAAATCAAATAAATTATGATTAACAATTTGAATTGTAAAATTTATTCAAATTATAAATAACGAATAAAATTATTATAATTTTATATTTATTTATTCCTTACACAAACATACAAATTGTTAATTTTTTTTTACAGGTGGCGGAGCTTCGACTATGCATTCAAATCACAACACTGGCATAAACCCGAATCATAATCGAAGCCACGTTAATAGGTGAAATTCGTTCGCCAAACTACACACAAATGCAAGTATTATTGCGTCGCACATTACCACAGCAGCTACAGCAGTCACCACAAATAACACCTCCCCAACAAACGCCAGAGTCGGACAGTGTATCAATAACAGTAGCAACAATTATTACAGCAACAATAACAACAGTAATAATAATAATAATAAAACCACCGTTACACCCACACAATCCCAATTTAATAACAACCAACAAAATGTGAACCAACAAATCTCAATTGGGCAAAATGTTGGCGGCGGTGGTGCAAATAATACGATAACTGGCTTAGGGCCCACAATGCAACAGCAATTTAATACGAATGCGAAAAATAACAACACTCAACTGTTATCACAACACCAGCAGCAGCAGCAGCAACAACAGCAACAGCTGTCAGCGAATACGTTACAACAAACGCCGCAACGGCATCAACTAACCCACCCACCGCCACCACGTCAATCACACTCTTACCCTTACAACACCAACAATAATAATAATAATAATCCTAATCTTAATATGAACAATGTTGCGCCCAATATGTCCGCTAACAATATAGTGAAACCACACCAACAACAACAACAACAACAAACTTACACGCCAATCACAGCAACACAACAACATATTAATGGTGCACTAACGACAACAGGGAACGCTACGCAGAAGTCGCTAACTCAGCCACTACATAAACAACAACAACAACAACAGCATCAGCAGCAAACAACGACTGCTGTCAACAATAATAGTAAAATAGCAGGTCCAAACATGTCAGCGACTAATATGTTCTTTGTAAGGTACTAGAAGTTATACATATGTATTTATTTTATACAATACGAATATACAGTTTTTTGAAAAAGTGGGTGTCTGAAAAACGATTTTCTGAAAATACCGGTCTCTGGAAATATGGTTTTCTAAAAATACTGATCTCTAAAAATATGGTTTCCTGAAAGTACGATTTTCTTAAAAAACGGTTTTCTGAAAATTTAGTTTTCTCAGACATTTAACATATTATAATTATGGTTTGCTGAAAATACGGGTTTCTGAGAATACGGGTTTCTGAAAATACGATTTTCTGAAAATGCGGGTTTCTAAAAGTACAATTTTCTTAAAAAACGGTTTTGTGGAAATTTAGTTTTCTCAGACACTTAATATATTATAATAACGCATTATCAACCGTCCAATTTTACAGTTATTTAAATATTTGTTCTTTGATTTTTGTATTATATAGGCCAACAAATCCAGCACCACCACAACCATTACACATTGGTGAATTGCAACCTTTTGTACCGGTGCAGCTCTTTTAAATTTTACACAGCTCAGCTATGACTACAAGAACAAAAGAATAAAGAAAAGAAGTAGAAGTAATTAAAATGCTTCTTAGGCAACAGCAACACAGGATAACATAGAAAGCATTATTTATCTTTACAATTATAAAATATTGCTTGCGTTCGGTTGCTAGCAAAGGAAATGTGTCGAAAAACTTACATACAAACAAGCAAACAAACTTGCATAAATTTATAGAAAATGTTCCAGTGATTAAAAATGTGAAATTCAGCATTGCAGTGAACAGCAATTTAAATATGTATTAACAAGTAAATATAGATTTCTATGTTTAAATCAACGAAATAGGGAAAAGAATGACAAAAAAACAAAATAATAATCTAAAACATGATATAAACGCAAAATACAAACATGACGTTAAATCAAGCCCACTTACATACATAAACACATACATACAATGTATTTACATACAAACATTTACATATATACATATATATGTATATGCCTGCGGGCTAATGTTTAAGACGCATATTATTTATAAAAGTAAGCTCTTATCTAAAAATAAATGATATTTATATATTTATATTCTTAATGAAACTAATAGCAAGAAAATACAATAAGATAAACATCTAAACAAAGCAAAACAAAGAGAAAAGCTAATGGCAAGTACCAGAAAGGTTAAACTTATCGATAAAGTAGAGCGCTTACAAAGGGAGAAGAATCAAAGATGACATGAAACATGCAAACAGAATTACTTTCAACAATTTTACAAAAAAGAAGAAGAAAAAAAAACAAAGACGAATGAATACAAAAAATAATAAACATTAAAATTAATTAACAAAACAATATAAATTTAAAATAATAATAAAAATAACCAGTAATTGTATGTGTTAAAAGCCTATTTATTACATATTTTAAGCTCAAATTGCAAATTAGTAGCTAAAAGTATAATATTATAATGGCATTAAAATTGAGAAATTTAAAATATAAACAACTTACTACTAAAAACAAACATGAACGGCATATAAATTACAGGATTTAAGCAAACACATAAATACAAACATATACATACATATGTAAACGAAATGAACGAACTGAATATTGATTTACAGATATACGGAAAAATATGTTATAAAGACCAAGCTTATGCTTTGCCTATTTCTTTAATTAATTTTTTATAAATATAATTTTAAAATTTTTTTTTGTTATTATAATTTTAAAATTATTAATAACTTAATTTTTTTTTAATATTAATAAATACATAAAAATATATTTTTTTGTTATTTATAGTTTTTAATATTTCATTTATTTAATACCTTTTATATATTTTTAATTTATTTTTTTTTATATTTTTGTAACTTTTTACATTTTTAGTTTTTTTTTATACAAAAAAAAATTTTTTTAATTTTTCTTTTTAGTATTAAAAAAAACATATTTAAAATATTTTTTTATGTTTTATATTTTATTGTTTTTGGTAATGCGCGTTGTCTTTTTGTAATATGTGCTACAAAAAATGTGAAATGTAAATTTCAAAATACTTTGACCAATTTCCGCAAAGACCCGCTTTCTTTTATCTAATTTGTATGTATAATTGTTAATGCACACCGGTATTATAGATTTGTTTTGATCAAAAAATGTGACTTAGCTCTGGTTAAAAAAAAAAATAATAATTTCTGTACACATTTCTTTTGTATAATAACACTTTTATATTATGATTCTCATTATATACTAATTTACTTTAGATAATTTTTTATTTGTAAACACAAACTGAAAACTTTAAATTCAGAAATTAAAAAATTATATGTTTTCATTGTGAAAATTATCTTTTCCATAATTTTCATTAATTAAAAAATTTAATATAATACCATAAAAGTGATAACTGAAAACTCACCACACAATTGTAGAGAAGTTTAATAACTAAAAGACATTAAATTTATTTTGAAAAATATGAACTCATTTCTTAAATACAGCAAAAATTATAACATTTTAGATGAAGAAGTCAAGATCTAATTCCAATTTTTTTTATTTAAAAAAAAAATTATGAATATCCCAAAAAATTAAAGTTTAAAATTTTGAAACTACGCATTTCCTGTAAAAAAAATTATACATATATAACAATTTTCTTAAATATTTAATATAAAAATTCAACGCGTCATGATTTTTAGTTAATTTGAACACATTTAAAAACACGTCGTTATTGCTGTATCCTCAATTATTACAAATTTGTTAATCAAATTTTCTGTTCTGTCAATTAACGATTTTTTTAGGAATGCAAATGTAGAATTGCAAAAGAATCATGATTACTTTCTGCTAATTGCTAATAAATGCAAATATTGTTGGAAACAATAAAAAATACACATACATAAAAAACACATATACACACACTTAACAATATACCAGTACATTTATACAATACATATAATTTGTAACTAAATCTTAAAAAATCATAAAGTTATTAATTAATATTATACTTACGAGCAAAAATAAAAAAAATATATATTATTGTAACACATATACAATTAAAACATAACATGCTGATAAAGTACATAAAAGTAAACCAAGCAATCGTTAAATCGATCTTGAAATATATAAATAAAAGTTATACATATACATATACACATACATATATAGAATGGAAAATAATAAAATACTTAAAATCGCTATATCGATAGAAGAAAAAGATAAAAAAAAGATTAAAAAAAACTAAAATATTACTTACAATAATTGCAGCAGTCAGTGTATAGTAAAAAAAAAGAGATAAAAAAAACAAAAACAAAATAGAAATTTCTGCACATATATAGCATGCGTAGCGTACTGTCTATAACGCTGCCGGCATAAGTTTTGTGTGTTCTATCTTCTCGGATGGCGTTTATAATGGATCCCCTCGTCGAATGACGACTACTTCTTTGAAAATGTGCTGTTCTGTGCAATTAATAATAAATATTACCCTACAAATGAAAATAATTGAATAAATAAATGGCATACAATAAAATATAAAAAGATACGCATTAATAAATATGAAAAATATATTGGAAGTGTTGTTTGTGTAATTTGTTTACTTCATATCGAGCAGTGGGTAATATTGCAAAAGTCTAATTAGAAGGCTTTAATCAATACGATCATAAATTAAACCCTCTGCAAGTAAGTAATATAATATTAAATAATTTTAATTATACATTTAAACCTTACAATAATAACGGATTTTGTAGTGTTAGCATTACTGTCACATCCGTAAATTTTCTCCCATATTATTTGCAATTAATTTTTAAGTGTGCGCTGGCAGCCCTGTTACAAAAATTATTGTTTGACAGCTCTACCAGCTGTTTAAATGCTAATTACAAATTGTTTGTTGTACATATAAATTTTGTATATTTAAGCAAATTATAAGTTTAGCAGCAATTACTACTAAACACTCGCAAACGAATAGTTATTGCTGGTTTGGAACACATATAAACAGTTTGTGCCTTGTTTAACTTAACATTTACTATGTGCAACCAATGACCTCATCGTAATATACGCATAGGAATTTACATCAACAAAATACTATTCACAAATTTTAAAGGATACGCCTAGCACTTGTCACCGCAGCAATATTATTATGAGTGTACGCGGCAATAGCGAGAATTGTGTGGAGGAGCCTGTTGCGCCAGAATGGCTTTCGAAATTGGAAAGTCGACGCGAAAATTTACAACGCGCCACAAAGTTGAGTCACGAAGTCGGCGCCGGTGCACCCTGTGGTGAATGCGGTGACAAATGTCCTGGCTTGGATTTACATTTTTGGCGTAAAGTATGTCGCAATTGTAAGTGTCGTAAAGATCAGCACAAATGTGTTGATGACGATTTATCATCTTGGGCACAGTTTGAGATTTTGGGACAAATATGTTCAAAACCAGCTTGTAAGTATGCGTACACATGTATTTTATTCTATTATATAAAAAGTTTGTTTTATTTCCAAATAAATCATGACAAATTGTTAGCACTGTAGTGGCTAGTATTAGTATATTTTAATATATACAGCTATTTGATACTTTACACAATGCTAATGATGATCTCACAATTCTTTTCTATTTCCCACAGTCATTAAAATTAAAGCGCTCGCCAGCCAACCCGTTCAAGTCGATTGGGTGCCACCGAACACAACGCCAGACGTTGTTTCCGACTATATGGAGAAATTGGGCGCCGCCAAGGTGCCGATTGCGGGCAGTGATGCGGCACAAAAGCGTAAACAACAATTGGAATTCCAAGTGCCGCCGCATGATTTGAATGCCGCACTGTGCGACAATCTAACCGATGCCGAAGCCGCACAACTACAACAGTATGTTGTGAAAATACGTGAAAATTGCGTTGGGCAGGGTGTTGTCGTACGCATCGGCAACATGGGTATTGGTTTTGTTGAGTATATAACACCGCAACAGCAACAACAACAGCATATGCTAACCGCTATTGATGCTTACAATATGCCAACGCATATACATCAAGCACCATTTAATGCTGCCTTAATTAATGATACAAATGATATATCCTTTCACTCACCGTTGCCCGTCAAAAATGCTGCGAATGCGCGTTTTAGCGCACAAATGCGCCAAGAAACACCAGCACGTAAACTTAAATTCGGCACTTTATGCAATTTGGCAAATAATTGTGGTCTACCAGTAAATGTCGATTATGAGCGAGATGCTGTATTTGCACAAATTTTACATGCCGAACCGCTCAAGCAGGCATTAGAAAACAAAAGTAAAGGTTTATCCACAAGTCAAGCGGTAATCATTTCACAAGCGCAAATGTTGCCAGATTTTATGAATGCATCCATTTTGGGTCCAGCTACAAAACAGAAACTCAAAGATATTGGTGTGAATGTTAAAGCGGTGCAAAGTGCCTTATTGAATAGTCCATTTTATGATGCCCTTTACGATACACTCAAGCAAAATGATATCAAATTTGATGAATGCCGTGTTTTGGCACCCATACAAGCGCTACGTGAAGAATTGCTGGTAAATAGACCGGTGGCAGAAGAGTTAAGTAGTTTTGTAACACAATTGCCAAACAGCGCGGCTATAATGTATACAAGTCCTTCGGAGAATAGCTTGGGCAAGTGCGGACTTAGTGGTTCCAGTAGCAACGATTCTGGTTTTGGTTCGAAAGCCTCAACACCGGTTGGTGGCGCTGACATGCTGACCGGTGCTGGCTTACCAAGTGCCTTTCAACAAATGCGGCTGACTAATAAAGGTTTTTATTTTTATTGTTTTTTTTTTGCATAAATTACACTATTATATAAATGTCTACACATATATAAAATAATATAATTTCAGAACCACCACCACCAGCGCCAATAGTGAATTGTCGTGACTGCGCCAAACCAATACCGCTAGGTGAAGTCGCCGTAAAAGCCGAACGCGCTGGCAAGGAAATAGCCTGGCATCCCGAATGTTTCAAATGTTACACGTGCCGTGAATTATTAGCCGATCTGGTGTACTTCTTTCACGGTGGCCAAGTCTATTGTGGTCGTGATTTGGCCATTAATTTGAAGATACCGCGTTGCAAAGCTTGTGACGAATTAATATTCACCAAGGAGTATACAGCTGCCGAAGGTGCCACGTTTCATATTAAACATTTTTGTTGTTATCATTGCGATACACCGCTAGCCGGACAACAATATATACCCGATGAGAAGACCAATATGCCGTTATGTTTAAAATGTTACAATGAATTCTTTGCGGCCACTTGTCAACGTTGTAATCGTCAAATTGAGCCTACGGATCAGGGTGTCGCCTGGGGTGAAGTACATTGGCACAGCGGTTGCTTTATTTGTGCTGGTGTCGATTGTGCCAAATCATTGATTGGTGGACGTTTTTGTGTGAAACAGAAAATGCCTTTTTGTAGCCCAACTTGCGTGCGAAGTATTATATAAGACATTTATACATTATATACAAGCATACAGACATATATTTATACAACTTAGTATTTAATACTATAAGCGAAGTATTCTGCACAAGACGAACAATTACAATTCCTATTTGAAATGTATTTTATACATACATTCATACATATAAATATTTTTACATATTGTATTTTTTATATGTACGCCAGTTTATGTGCACATTTTTAAGTGCCACGAAATATACTTATACACAATTTTTACTATCAGCTTAACTCTTGAGTATTTTAATTAAATTATTATTTTGGCGAAAACCAGAAAAAAAAACATTAACTGCGGTTGCATTAAAGCTAGAATACCCTTCACAAATAAAAAGTTTCCATACTATAACTTGATTTTGATCGTTCAGTTTGTATGGTAGCTGTATTCCATAGTAGTCCGCTCTATACAATTTGCTCGGAGATTGTAGCATTGTCTTTTACAATAATTTATGTAAAATTTCGTAAAGATATCTTGTCAAATAAAAAAGCTACTATATTCTATAGTGATCGGATATCGGCGATTCCGACAAATGAGTAGCTGGTTCGCGTATTTACAGACAGACGGACATGGCTAAATCAACTTGGCGCGTCACTCGGATCATTTATATATGTATGTATATATTTTATAGTATATCTGACGTTTACTTCTGCGCTTCAAAATAGTACGGCCCCGAAAAGTATGCAAACATTGCTCCTGTCTTCGCTGGATTCTTGGTGTTTTTTATTGTAGCGCATACGCTATAAATATCGGTGTCATTAACACAACAGGTGATACCACGCCATCGGCATCGACCCGATGATATTCGACAAAAGTCGAGCTAATTCTGTTCAGTAAGCGTCTCAAAAAAATAAAATAAAAAAGATTTTTTTAAATTTTCTAAAAATACAAATATAAGTAAAACACGATGGCGTATACTTCAGTTATTCATCGAGAGCGTTTATTTTAGAGCTTTTTAAATACATTTGTGTTTAAAAAAATATTTTATAAGCGAAAAAATCACATAATTTCCAGTATTATGCCGTTCTCAACACACACATACACATACGTACATACATACATAGATACACGCACACCAACACAAACGCACATTTCATCATTTGCATTTATGTACATAAGTACGCATGCGCGCGTTGCCATTTTCGTTGCAAAGCCGCCGTGTTTATTTTCTGCCGCTCCTACGCCATCTGACAGCATAAATGAACTTGCGTTGCTGTTGTTGTGGAACTACAATACAATATTTTAGGATTTCTAATTGTTACATATTCAGGTCGTGAAATCAACATTATGCTTGTTGTTGTTTATTTTAGTAGTAGTCATCCAAGGCGTACCAGCTGTGGTGAAAATCGCCATAAACATGCGTATGCATACTGTTATAAGTATGTACCTATAAGTAGCTGCTGAGCGCTGGTCGTTCGCTTGGTAAGTGCCGTTTCAGACAGGGATGCAAAAGAGTCGGATGTTTTTCAAATTTTCTTTTGGTGTCGCTCTGGGCATTCACACGGTCAAAAAGAGTCCAGCAACTCGAGTCTAGTTTTTCTGCATTCCTTTTCACAAAATGTTCGTAAATATTTGTGCGGTTCGACTGCGCAACACCGCGCAACACTGCATGCTGCGTATTTCATTTGTATGTTGAGATGATGGTCACACATTTTGCTTGCAATGAATTACCATAAATATGGTAGAACAATATGCATAATACAAGTACCTACCCGCTAAATAGTTTCAAAAAAATACTAAAAACGGGAATTCCCTAATCCACAAGAATGTATTGAATATCCGCTATTAATATTTTCAAGGCCAAATTTATAATAGGAATTTCCTAATCTTTAAGTATTAAAAACTCATAATTTCTTTACTCCATATTAAAAATTCATAATTTCTTTACTCCATAATCTATATCTTAATTTTCTCCTTATTTACAATTTGTCATAATATTTCTATTATTCTATGCATACGTATTTGCATATTACATACAAAAATAGATAACAGAACTCAAATTTGCGATCGAATTCATTTGAAACCGAGCGCTCTTGCAACTATTCAAAGGATTTGAAAGTGAAAAGGAATGCTGAAAAGGGTAGCAGCGAGCTGTTACGAAAAAGAACACAAAGCGTGCCACCCGAACACGAGTGGCACGGTCCCTTCGTCTTTCCTCGTCGTCCCCTCGCCCACAATAAACTGGTATGAGACTCTTTTGCGTCCCTGTCTGAAACGGCACTAATAAATTTGAACTTAACTAATAGTTACATACATACATATGAATATAGTAGGTATGTATATTTATATGTAGCTAAGATGTAGTTTTTAGTTAATTTAATTAATTAAGTTTTCACTTTTTTTTTCGTTAACATATCTATTGAACATATATGTATGTATATTCTTTTGCTCCAAATTAAATTTCATTAAAAAATACAATTACTAAAAGCTAATTCGTTATATACGAGTATGTACAGATAACGCAAGTCTCCATACGTATTACATAGTGTTATTGTTTGTTTCTTGATTTTTTTTTTTTGCTTTGTTTTGTATTATTTATATGTTGTATTATTAATTTTTATTTATTTTGTTTGTTTGTTTCATTTAGATTTCCGATAATACTTCAGTTACTTCAGTACTTTTTACAAAAGAACTCCTATGCAGCACAATGAGAAGGATCCCATCTAACATGCATACAAATATTTCTTGCAACCTATATCAATAGATACATATGCATAGGTATATAATATATCTATATATCTTTATGTATGCATTATATAATGTTTTGTATAAAGCGCAGTTTACCGGGAGTTACACGAAAAGAACAACCAAACAATTTTTAGTTAAAAAAAATTTAAAAAAATAAAATGCAAAAGCACACTAACAACTATCACAGAACATATGTATTTATATATATGTATGTATGTACGTATGCCAGTGCGTCGGGGAGTTCGAGATTTAGCAGCGTGCAAATTGGGGAAGGACAGAACAGCAAGTGAGGGAAATTGCGCTGCAAGGCAGGTGCTAAGTGCAACACTAGTTTCGTGGTTCAGCTGCCTGTTGACAAAGCAACCGACGAACCAATCAAACATATGTTCGTCTGTTTATACCTTTAGGTATATATGCAATTGTAAAGCAGGCGCAGTCAGTCTTGATACGTTCAAAATAAAAAATAAAAGATATATAAAAAATATGCGAGTTCTTGAATTTTAGTAGAGCAACCAGCATATGTCTGCTGCTGTTGTGTTTCTCTTTTTGTGAACGCATGCTAACTGCAGGTTTGTTCGTGTGACAGTAAGTATTTGAAACGTTGCAAAGTTGAATTCCCCTCAAAAAAAAAAATGATAAATAATATTGTGCATTATTTGAAAACAGTATGACATTCGCAGGAACATCGAACACATTGTTCAATCTGTTCACGAAGGTGTGTTGAGCTTACACTAATGAGTAATTATATACAGATTTATAAAAAAAAAAAAAAAAAAAATAAAAAGAATACAGTCAATTTCAATTCAGTAATGGTTCCCACATATATACAAATAAATGAATTTCAGGTATGTAATTTGAAAACGTCCGTCGTCCCTGCATCGTGGCAGTCTTTATGCGGGACATTATAAAATGGCAGAGTCTAAACAATGAGCCTACATTTACGCACAGATACAATAAACAAGTATTGCCAACACGGACAATAACAAAGTTTTGTCGAGCTGCGAGGTTTCAGTTTGGCTACAGGCATATATACATTTCATGTATATATATTTAAGTTTATATATATATCCTGCACGTTTAACATGCTCATCATCACTGTCTGCTGCTACCAACTGCTCGGCTACACTGTGTGAATATTTCTTTCATTGCTTTTCACCTTTTACCCATTATATTGCGGCTGATTTGACCTGCCTTATTTAGTTTACATTTTGAAAACATATTTTTTTTCAACCCCAGTCTGCTTTTTTTGGCGCTACATTGCTTTGCAACCCTTCCATTGTGCTGTTTTGATCACGTCCTCGCTCAACGTGGATCTATGTCAACTTAACTATTCTATCCTAACACTGCCATCGTCAACAGTTTGTGTAAATGCCGCGCGTATAGTATAATTCTGCAATGCGTTCAGGCAGTGTGCTGTAGAGATTGACCACAAAATCCATCGGTAAACGCGTCCATGCCGCGCGTATACGAAATATGAGATCGTCCTTGCGCGAAAACTTGCGTCCACCATCGTAGACTTCGCGTATTAGCCAACCCCAGACGTTCTCCATAATGTTGAGGTCGTGCGCTATGGTTGGCCATCGTTGCATTTTTATTCCTTCGGCATCGAGCATTTCTTGTGTTGTCGGCGTCATATTGGCCGTCCAATTGTGATCTTGCAGTATAAAATCTGGATTACCACCTAATTTGGTAATAATATTAGGTCGTTCGCGCAATATGGTTTCGATATATGTTTGTGGTCGTTGTTTCGCCGTCGACACCTCCATGTGAATTGGGCCACCGGCGGTGATTAACATATATATGTAAACGGAATTACCACGCGGCCGTTGCGAAAGCGTTTGTTCGTAATTACGTAAATCGTGAAAGTAACTGGAGAAGCCATCCGGACCGTCTAAATTGAATTTACGCTCATCCTGGAAGACCACACGTCGCCAATGCTCTTCACCCCACACAATATGCGAATTTGCAAAGTTTAAACGTTCAGTTTGATGATATTGCGACAGCACTGGTTCTATTTTGATTTTTTTCGAATTAACAGCCGAGCTACCGGCTGCTGATGTACCGCTGCGCATTTGTGCACCCACCGCTCCGGTTTTGGCACTATCCACCGCATTGTTGGCATGTCCATTAGCGGCTGATGAGCGACTAGAGTTGGTGGCATTCGATTGCTGTGTTGGCGCATGACTGGAGGCTGTGCCGCCACCCGTACTCGAACTGGCCGCTGAGAAATTGGAATTCTGATTTAATGCGTGTATGGGAAGCGTACGATTATGATTATAATTCTGTTGGTTGTGCTGCGCACTTTTGAATTTATGATTGGCCGCACCCGTGTTGGCTAATGTATTGGATACAGCTGATGTATTAGTATTATGATGATTGCTTTGCTGATAGTAGGGATGGTGGTGATGATAGGTCATATGCTGCTGATGTATAGTGGGCTGTTTGAGCTGCAGCTGTTTTAGTCGATGCTGTGATTGAACCAGTAATTGTTGATGCGCTTGTGCGTTAGTGTGACCCGTGGCTGATGTAGCTAATGTTGTGGTGTCCTGTGTTGGCGTGGTTGTTGTTGTGGTGATATTATGTAGTTGCAATTGTTGCTGTTGTTGATAAGACTGCGCTGTCACTGCTGTTGCGTGATGTTGCAATTGCAAATGTGCTTGCGTTATCGCTCCTGTATGTGTGGTTGGTACTGTTGTTGCCGTGACTGTTGGCGCAGTTACGCAGTAATTGTCTGTGTGTTTGAGGTAGTGTTGTAGGGCCATCAGAGGTTAGGCAGGCGCTTACTAGCCGCCACTGCAAACTCTTTTAATTGCTTTTCGAAATTGTAATCGATTTTTTAGTATTTCAAGCCAACAATAATCAGAAAAATAAAGATTACTGTGCTTCAGTGAATTAACGTATTGTGGTTGAAATGCAGCTGGCACTTTATTCCCGCTATATATTATCGAAGATGGTTATTTTTGTTAGCGTTGCTTCAAGAATTTCATCACAGACTGAGGCCAAATAAATGAGAGTACGTCAATCGATTTTCATGTGATATTGTTTTAACAAATATACATGAGAATAACTGTTTGAACGTATAATTTATATATGTTATAGGTATTAGCTTGCTGATGCGCAGTTTCGATTACGAATGTCGTGGATTTTTATTAATTGGATTGTAATTTTAAAAATTACCTTATCTACATTGATTATTTGCGTACAAGAAGTAAGGTTTTACGATTATAATCAACTTTTCTTATTATTCCATTAACACTGTATACTTATATTTTATGTGTATTACTTTCATGCCGTGTTTAAAGTTATTTGTGTAGAATCTGTAAATAAAAGTAAACGTAAATTAAAACACAATGAACATTATATATATTTTTTTTTAAGATTAAGTTATCAAACTATAATTAGATTAGTTTCCTCTTCTTCTTCTTCTACAATTGCTATCAGCTTAATTTACGTTCACTGCACAATGCCACACGTTTGTATACTTTTTCTATTATCCTATTTAATTTTAATGAAACGCGATAGCGTTTTTATTATTTTATAACTAAAATAAGAAAGTTACCACATCATTGACTGTTTATATTAACTTTGATGTTGGGAGAATACTCGGATTAATATTTTCACAGCTTGTCCATTTTGCTTGACACAAAAGAAGTTTTCAAACCCGAACAACTGTCGCATTAATTGTTGGTGACATTTTACATATTTGCATTGACATATGTACAAACATATGCACCATGGTACACCTTGCGATACTGATATCAATGCTACCGTAGATGGTAGCAGCAATGTAATGCAACATCAACAGCACATTCGGATAGATACAAATATATAAGCAAGCAATGGTCGACAGTATGATGCGCTTCACAGTTTTGAAAGCCCAGAATTAAAAAGTTAAAATATCCTATATCAAATACTTAATATCACTATATAATGTTTACATTATGCATTTCGTCTATCTTGTTGTAAATAATTTTTAAAAAAATTAAACAATCTAATAGCACACAAAGCATCAGACACATCAAAGGATTCCACTTGAAGAGCTTTCGAAATAATGAAGATTTTTTGTTCTCCATTTAACTGATGGCCGATGTTTATTTAGTTTACATTGTAAATACATACAGATGTGAATCAACGCACAAATTAACATGAATACACTGTTCACATATGTACATATATACAGAAATGATAAAGCAAAGCAAGCTACGTGCGTTTGCGTTCAAATCCTATCTATATACACGCACTTTGTACATATTTATACCGAAAACCAGTCGATATTGTGAATATGTACATAAATCGTGACGAAACGAAAATTTTGCTCTCGGGAATTCGCTGGATGCGAACGATTAAATTTTTCTTTATTCCAAATTCATATGTGTATTCTTAAGCACTCAATTAATTATTTTTATCATTTTCATGCATACACTCTAAATTATAATTAAAAATTCAAAAAAAATAACACAGTGGAATCATTTTAGATCACGCACAACTGCACATTTGAGTGAAAAATTTACTTCCGTAACCCCAATCACACTATCGAGCTTCGTCATCTGCACTTTGCACACACTTTTTTCACGTACCTTTATTTAGATCGTGTTTGCTGTAGAAGAAAAACAGATAAAATTTGGTTCCATTTTTTGGCTTTATTAATTGCGATGCGTTAATAAAAATGGAAACCATGCATATCCGATGCAGTAGCAGCAACACACAACCAGATAGGCAGACAGGCAGACAGGGCGAGCCAATGACAAAATCTGACTTTACACAAGCTATCCGTATTTACAGCTGTCAAATCAGAATGACATGGTTGTATGAATTGTCAACTTAAAATTGAACAGGAGCAATATTTAAAGAACCGCCTTAATGCAGAAATTGTATAACAAAATTGTAACAACTTTTATTATATTCTGTGCACCAAAATGTCTTTCTTTATTTTACTTAACAAATAGGTTTTTTTTATTTTAGTGTCACCCTGTACTTTCTATTGAGAATAACAAATAAAAGCCGATTCACATACAGCTTTTCTCGCTTTCCTTGACAATTCTTACTTTAGCAATGAAGCAAATATAACAAATTGTATGTTGTTGTAATTGTGGCCTCGATGTTAACAAGCTCATACAAAAGTATATATTGAACTTTTCTGTCAAAGCATATGTATGAAGTGAATCGAAGCAAAAATTCTATGTGAATGGGTCATAACGGACCATTCACATAAAACTTTCCTCGCTTTGCGTGACAGTTCATACTGAAACAACCAAGCGCACAAAACAAAGGCTGCGGCACTATGAACGCTTTGCTTTTAGTGTTTCTCTCTAATAAAAATAGCGACTGTTGGCAAAGCGTAAAAAGATGAGAGTTGCCTAAGATTTTGCTTGGCTTCGCGCCGAAAACTGTTTATTTGAACGTACTCATACAAAACCGTACATCGAACTTTTTTGTCAAAACACATGTCTGACGCAAGGCGAAACAAAAGTTCTATGTGAACTGGCCATAAGTGTTTTACGCTACGCCAATTCTCTGATAATTACAACCCTGTCATTCAATTTACAATAGTTTTCAAATATATAATATTAAAAACTAAAATAATTGTTAACTTTATCAATGTGAAACGCACTAACATTATCATATAGCAAATGAATTTCGCAGTAATGTTGCCTCTAGAATTCAGTAGCTATTTTACTACACGGAAGTTCACCAATTTTTTCAAAAGATTTTGCATTGTGCTGTATTAAGTTTGTATCAAAATTAATACTAACATTTAATCACATAATATGCAAGCAGATCTTAAAAGATATATTGTATAATTTTACGCAGAATGTCTTGCAACGCAGTTTAATAAAAATGAATACGTAAGTAGCTGAAGTGTTTCTCTTTTAAACAATACCATCTTTGCACACATTAATCAGTTGGGTTTTGGATAACTATCAATATGAAATCCTTATCTGGAGCAACCATAATTTCGTGTTTCTTAGAACGTACACGCAGGAAAGTGAGATCATTGGATGGGTCTAAATCACGCACAACACTGCGTGCTTTGTCAGATAACTGACTCATGAGACCGGCATACTGCACTGTGGTCGTGTTGTCCAATGTCGACTTGACTGGAATACCTAAGAAAATAGTCCAATTAGTATATCTCGTATGTGACATTGTAGTCAAGTTACCTTCATTGTTGACAACAATGGTACCGACAACACCCTTGTGCGACTGAATACGTTTTAATGTTTCCTCAACTTCTTGCGACTACAATGTATAAATATACAGAATAGGTTATATTGAGTACTTTGAGTTGAATACTTTTATTTACCATATCTCCTTGTATTTATTATTGAAACTTAAAAAATTTGCAAACTTTTCACCTGAATCAGTAGACGACAACCAGAATGAAAATCAATGTTGTCATCGATCAAGCAAAAAACACAAGTGGGGTTGCATTTGACAAAAAATTAAGAGTACTTTTTATAAAAGGCAAGTTACCAGTGTGGCGTATTTGTTTCGAAATCCTTTGACTATTTTGAATTTCACTATCCACTCGTTAAGGTCAACATATTGTAAAATTAAACTACACTCTTGAATCGTGTTTGTTGTAATCATTTTTTAATATTAAAATTTAATCAAATAAAACAAAAAAATTGTAATAATCCCCTTTACGATGATTGTAATATATAGGTTCTAATACATTGTGTTTATGTAAAAATTTTTGCAATACAATTTTTGATCAGCTACTTAAAAAGCTTATTTATTATTGAAACTCAGCAACCAGTTTCATGCACTGCACATCAATTCTTCGAAGTGTCTATAGATGAAATTATTTTATATATATACATATATATTTCTTATGATAATTTAGTAATTTTCAATGTTGGTAAGTTTGTACTGAAAAAACTGTTTAATTACAAGGTTTAAAAGAAATTTATTTGCAACAGTCAATTCAATTGGAAAACGTTGTGCGCAGGAATGCCGAAAACACAGAACGTATCATGAGGAACGCCATTGGTTATGTGGTGTCGAATAATGCTTTGGGAACTGTGATACAATCCACATTCGATAACAGCACTTCTGGTGGCATAACTAAATTGATTAGTGGAGTACTAGTGCCAACAGCTCGCAGCGCAGTGCGCGATTTAGATTCCACCAATGATTTGGCCTTTCTTCGCATTGCAACACGAAAATTTGAATATTTAGTCGCACCGGAAAAGGAATTCACAATTGTTGTGATGCAATAAAATTATATTTAACCATCTATAACATATATGATTTTGTATATTTTGGTTTTGTACAATCTTTTTATATTTGAAATTACAATTCATAACTGTATTCTATCCTGCGCATTTTGTATCACCATTACAGTAATTTTACCATCTGGCGTTATAAGTACTTCATTGGCTTTTGTGCGAACACGTAGCATTAATAACTCATCTTTCGGATCAATCTTCTGTAAGCCCAATTGAACTTTTTCCTTTAATATTTCATATAGACCAACAAACTCAATAGCCATTTGTTTCTCCATTGTTGTCTTGACGGGATTGCCATTTTTGTTCAATATAATAATATCCACTATATCGGGTTTTTCTTCTATTAGCCGGAAAACCTCCTCCACATATGAACGTGTACGTTTACTCTATAAATAAATGGCATCAACTTGTGTTATATATAAACACACATATTTTAAAAGCTTATATTACCTGCTGCTGATCTGCTTGCATCTTTTTTTCTTTGCACAATATAATAATTAAGCTATAAAAAAGTAATTGATAGTTTAAAGAAAGTCACACAAGCTGTGCTTACTTCATGAATTTTTTGAATGTAGATTGGTATCCATAGTATTTTCTTCAGTTGATTTATGAATTGAATATAGGTCAATAGGTGATTGAATGTTCAAATGGCTTTATCATGGGGTTTCCTGTCATGGTAACACGCTACCTGAATACCATGTACAGTGGAAAATTAGTTTTTTTTAATGTATAAATACAAAAAAAGAAAATAAGAAAAACTGTTTACTTCGGTTGTACCGAAGCTAGAACACCCTTCACAAATAAAAAAGTTTTCCATACAAGAATTTGATTTGGATCATTTAGTTTGTATGGCAGCTTTATCATATAATGGTCTGCTCTGAAAATTTTCTTCAAATGTTGTAGCGTTGCCTTGAACAATAATCCATACCAAATTTCGTGCAAATATCTCGTCAAATAAAAAAGTTTTCCATACAAGAATTTCATTTTGGTCGTTCAGTTTGTATGGCAGCTATATGATAAAGTAGTCGTCATGCTGGTCAGTTTTATGCTTATGTACATGCTTGTTTACTTATGTACATGCACTTTTTTCGCCTCCGACGTTTCTTTCTAGGCGTTACAAATTTCGTGGCTTAATATACCTTGATCTGTTATAAAAATACAACTTTTAGGAGGGCACATCCTCATCTTGTCGATTCGTTGATTTCAGCTGTGCAGTCTTAGATTAAGTTCAATTTTAAATGTTCAAGTTGAAATATGTTCAAAAAGGAAAAATACATCGTTATTTTCAAAAAATAAAATCAAAGATGTTATAACAAGTAATCGATATTTCGAGAATTTTAATCTTATATCGGGTTTGAATAATTGACCGCAATGGCTTTTTGTCTTTCGGAGATAATGAATAACAATAATACTATGTCTTCTATTTAATATATTTGTATCGATTATAAAATTTAACGTTATTAAAGAACTTATAGGTAGGTAGGTAACTTATAGCATAACTACATTCAATAATACTAAAATATATAATGATATATTAGATATATTTTTATATCGAAATTATTTACTACAATATGGTATTATATTGGAAATAATTTATAATATTGCCTAAAAATATAAAAATTAATAATTTATAAGTTTTATATTTGGTACATTCCAATGCATCACTGTTTTATACAGTCGGTGGCATGTTCATAGTTATATCGCGCTTTCATTATAGTCAAGCTGAATGATTTGAGGTGTGGGCTGAAAGTTTTGTTGCTGTTAAATATTATTTATCAAATAATTTGGAACGCATATTTATCAAATCAAATATATTAAGCCGACAAGAGATAAAAAGTGAAGATGTGTGAATTAAATTAGAGACTGTGAAAAGAATGCATTGAAGTGAAATGAAAACTATTGCGTGCCGCAGTAAAATACTATTGGTGATAGAAAATTGCAGAAAGGTAAGCAACATAGTGACGACGAATAGCATCGCTATGAAAGTGGTCCAGTGGAGTGCAAAGTATATAAGTATATAAGGATAACAGTTGGACAATTATAAATACGCTTTACAATTATATATGTGTTAATGTGCTGGAAAATAATTAAAAATCAATACGTATGTATGAAATATGCACGCTTCAATGAAGAAATTAAGTTGTGGTTGATATGCTTTTAAAAGAAGTACACAAGAGCGCGATATACGCCTCATAATTAGTCCACCGTCCGCAAAACCTCATTCATAAAGCAAAAACTCTACCTGCCGGTCTGCGAAAAGGGACACTGCAACTGCGCATGATTAGATTTTTCTGCTACTACCATATTACCCACACCACACAAGTATGATACTGCTAGTGACAGCCACTGTAAAGTAATTTGGTGTATCATAATCTTTTGAAGACAGAAATCAGTATGCACACTGCTCCAGTTCAGTTGATTTTCTATGGATTAAGAATAATTGGCTGTCGGCTGGAATAAATGTTTGTGATTTACGGTTTGTGGGTCAGAAATTTATACCGTCTGTTTGAACTTAAAATTGAGCAATTAAATGCAAAAGTAAACATTTTGTGAAACAAGGATTGTTAATGGAATAAGTGAAAATCCTTAAAAACGTACAGAGCTACAAACGCGTGATGCTCTCTATGAAATATATTTATTAAATTAAAATGTCTATTAAATTGTACTTACTGTATGTTAATGGTGTGTGTGCACATCTAAATGAATATATTAAGCGAAAAAATAGCAAAAAAAGAGATTATAAAAAATTATCATTAAAACCGAAATACCAGAATTATTTTAAGCCGATGACGCTTACGTATTTGTTTTGCATAAACACCTGACAAGTTGAGTTCGACGGCTATTAAGAAGCAGGCAAACGTGTAGCAAAAGTCATAAACTACAATAGAAACTTCATAGGGAATTTTTGAATTAATTACTTATTACATTAATTACATTTCGTATCAATATTTAAAGGTACTATGCGTTTATCACTCGTTAGAATGTAAAATCAAGAGCGAAAGATGAAAAAATAATCCGCAAGCGTTTAAACGGCATACAATCATCGAAGCGCGTCGCATAGCATCGTTTTGGATAGCAGCGCTGCGCATCACGACAGCCTCACAGAGAGATCTCTGTTTGTAAACAGTTCAGTTTGCCGCTGTCGCCGTAATTAGAGGAAATGATGTCACCAAGCTATTTTGACTTCTCGCCCATACTAAATACTCCCCTTGTCATTATATTGTGATTTTGCTATTTTTCGGCTGATCAATATTTTGTTTTTGTATGGTATTAAGCACAAACGTGTGTTGAAATTGTGTTTTTCTTTTTGTTTTTGCATTTTAAATTTTTCGTGTGATGAATAATTTTTGGACACACGGCACAATAAAACAACCCAAATATATGAAGTTTTGAAATCAGCAGACGCCTACATGCAAAGTACTGGCACATAAAGATGTGTGCATAGTGCAATGAATGTTCCACTCATGAAATTTTACAACATTCGCAGAGTGGGTAGTTGATGTAGAAGAAAATAATAAATTTACATTTTTACGTCAGAAACTGTTGACTGGCGCTTTCTGGGAAGCTTTACAAGAACGAAATATTAGGAAATATTTTTATAGGAATTTAATATTTGTGTATTATTTTCTAAAATTAAATTTAATTGTAGTATTTGTTTTAGTTACATACATTTGTATGTAGATCTGTGTATTTCAAAATTGTTACTCTCCTTAGTAGTATAATCTTGCCAACCTATCTGTATCAAGGTTTAACTTTTAACCGCTGCCTTGTATACATTTATTTTTCCATGAATAATATTTCTAATTGTCTGTTTTCTAATGCAATTTACACATTTATAAATGTCACAAATCAATATTTGTCCACGGACATATTGCTGCATTTGAATATCAGTGGGTGAATGTTGAAGCATTCGAACAGTTTTAAGGCTGCACTCATCGGCATTCTTTAGTAAAACAATGCACATATGTATGAATATATATATTTAATATGTAACAAATGTACTTGTTTATGTTTATGTATAATTTTATATTGTATGCATAAGTCCAACATAGTAGATGTTTAATTATACCTTGAATAGGGTAAGTTTGACAAGAAGTGTCCGGAAGTATACGTCGGAGACTATATAAACATACGTATGTATATAAATGATCAACGCGATGAGCTGAGTCGATTTAGCCTTGTCCGTATGTCTGTCCAGCTGTGTATAGACGCGAACTGGTCCTTCAGTTTTTGAGATATCAATCTGAGACTTTGTACACGGACCACTATACGCTGTTATACAAACTGAACGATCAAAATCAAAGTCTTGTATGGCAACTTCTGTATTTGTGAAGTATATTGTAATTTAGGAATCACCAAAGTAAACGTTTAATCTTATTTTATCTGAGCTACAACCAACAATGATTACTTTGACTATATGTTGGATTAAAATAATACATTTAATTTTTTGTATTTTTTTTTCAGTATTCGCTCCACATTAAAGTAACGCAATCGTAATTCAATTAAAGTATTATTTCAATAAAAGCCTTATACCTTGCAACGCCTGAAATGGAACTGGAATCGGGTATAGCTATTCTGCAGGATTTGCGTTTGCAGACATTTGATTCGATACGCTTTGCTTCTTACCGTACGGCCTCTAAATTGCGTTATATACAAAAGTCGACAAATCTACACTTGGTCGATATATGGAATGTAATTGAAGCATTCCGTGAGAATGGTTTGAACACATTGGAGCCACAAAGCGAAGTGAGCGTGGCACGATTAGAGACGCTTGTTTCATCACTCTATCATAACCTCAATAAACGTCTTCCAACGGCCCAGCAAGTTCCCGTTGATTCGAAGGCTGGCCTCTTGCTCAATTGGCTGTTAGCAGCGTATACAAGGTAGGTAGCGTAGATTTTTATAGAGAATATATTGTAACGTTTTTATTTATATAATAATTATTATTTTTCTATATTTTGCAGCGATAATTCTGGAAAAATTCGCGTATTCTCTATCAAGGTGGCTTTGGCGACTATGTGCTCCGGAAAATTGGTGGATAAATTGAGATGTGAGTTCTGGTGCCACTGAACTAAGAAAATATTATTTTTATTTAATTTTAAGTCATACAAACTATAATATTTAATAATATACTCCATTTCTATCAATAATATGTATTTATCTCTTTTTTTTTTTTAGATATTTTTTCACAAATATCTGATGGCGCTGGTCAATTGGTACCTTGGAAATTGGGTGAATTTCTACGTGAAGTATTGGCTTTGCCTGCGGCTGTTTATGAATCTCCTACATTCCATTATAAAGACGGCTTGGAGGAGGAAATATTTCCAGCTGAGAATAAGGTCACAGTAAATGATTTCATGGCAACACTTATGTCTGAACCGGGCCCATCGTGCCTTGTTTGGTTGCCGCTGCTGCATCGTTTGGCCACTGTTGAGACAATTGTACATCCGACCATCTGTTCGGTATGTCATAAGGAGAACTTTACGGGATTTCGTTATCGTTGTCAGCGGTGCCACGCCTACCAATTATGTCAAGAGTGTTTTTGGCACGGCAAGACATCACTGAATCATCAGAATGATCACGAAGTCAAAGAATATTCGAGTTATAAATCGCCCAGTAAACAGATCGGCCATTCGTTGCGCAAGAGCTTCCGATGTGTGCCCGAGAAGACGACACAAGTGTTGCCACGATTCCCCGAACATCCCGAAAAGACTTTGAACCTCTCGCATATTGTACCACCATCACCCCTACCATCACACAATGGTTTCACCGATCCGCCACTATTGCATGGCGGTGTGCCCGGTGGCGCACATAGCGGTGGCCTGTTGTACGATCGCTCCAGTACGTTAGATTCACGTGCAACTGGACGCAGTCTCGACAGTGCCACCGGTGCTAGCATGTCACGCATGGCCACCGCTTCGGCCAATGATGAGGAGCATCGTTTGATTGCACGCTATGCCGCACGTCTTGCCCAGGAAAATCGTGCTGTGAGTAGGAGATTTATAAATATACATGTTTTTACTTAAATAATTTTATTGCTACTTTTAATTTGCAGCCGGTCAATGCTGGTAATGTTGATAATGCCAGTAGTATCGGCTCGGATAATTCGCGTGCGCAACGCGAACTAATCGCTCAACTGGAATCCAAAAATAAGGAGATAATGCGTGAAATAGCCAGACTTCGTCGTCAGCAAGAAGTTGAGCAAATCACACCAGAAAATCCGGCGCTTATAAATGAGTTACGCGCATTACGTCAACGCAAGGGCGAGCTGGAAGGTCATTTGGGCGCATTGCAAGACTCGCGTCGTCAACTAATGGAACAATTGGAAGGACTCATGCGTATGCTAAAGAATCAGCAAACTACTTCACCTCGCTCCACACCCAATTCCAGTCCACGTTCGGGCAAATCACCACCCATGCCCGGTGGCATGGGTGTTGTAAATGCAATTGGTGGCGGTGCTAATTCACTTAATATTGCTGCAATGCATTCGCAACAAGGCCAAGCATCGGCACATTCTTTAATTGGTATAGCAGGCGCCGGTGGTGGAGGAGGCGGAGGCGGCCGTCCAACGCAGCAACAATTGCTGCAGGCACAACAGACTGGCGCGTTACAGGGTTCACAACAACAACAGCCATTTAATACAAGCCAACTGGAGCAATTGAATCAAATAAGCAATGAAGTGCGTTCAGCATTTGCAGGCAACACAAGCTCAAGTAAGTGCATACACTACAACCATAATGAAATCGTTAGCGATAAAATATGTTTTTATGCTATTACCCATGTTAAGTTCTAAAGAGCAGGGATGGCGGTAAGAAAATACCTTAAACATAAAAAATTAAAAAAAGCAATAAATGTCAAATTGATTACATAGTATTTTATTGCCCAGAACAGGGTAAATTAATGGGGTATTCTAGTCTAGAGACATGAATTTTAGGTATTTTTTAAAGTGTCGTAAAAAAGGCAATCCATATTTTTACTATCGATTTTTTTTTATCAGTTATTAATGGTACAAGACTACAGAAAAAAAGTTAAAAAAATTTAAAAATTAAAAAAACTGGCATTTGATCAAGTGGAGGGTCTAAAAAATTGGCACATGAGCATACCTATGGTTTCAACACTCCTAGTCATCTGAAATGAAAAAAAAGATTATCAACTGCAATGATATCGCAATTGTATGAACTAGCGATAAGTAAAAAAAATTTTTTTTGACAAAATAGCGACTGTTTGTAAAAAAAAAAAAGGTTTTTTTTTTACCTTTTTTTTAATTTCTCGTATTTTTTAAAAATAGTAAAAATTTGGGGATGAGGCTAGTTCGTACTCGAGCGAGGTCTATAAAGAAGATTCTCTGAAATTTTCAAGTAAATCGGTACAGTAGAACTCGAGAAATCGCGGGTATCGTATGGAAAAAGTCTGGTCTGAGAAAAACGCATTTAAAGTTTTTTTTTAGATTAGACCCAGCCGAACCAGTTTGGAGGCCGGGTCAGTAAAATGTCTATATGTCTCCGATGATAATTTAAATTTTCAAAAATCCGCTCGTAGGCATATTCTTAAATAGTTAAACTTTGAAAACATGAATAAAAAAAATCGATTTTTTTGAAATTCTACACTAGAATACCCCCTTAAGTTTGCCACGAAGTTTGTAACACCCAGGAGAAACATTAATGGCCCTATAAAGTATATATATATTAATATATATATCATCTGTGTGACGAGCTGAGTTGATTTAGCCATGTCCGTCTGTCTGTATATACGCGAAGTTTGAGTTTTTGTGATATCGATCTAAAATTTTGTAGACGAACTTTTTTCTCCAAGAAACTGCTCATATATTGAAACCGCCGATATCGGGCCACTACGTGAAATAGTTCCCATACAAACTCATCGACTAAAATCAAGTCCTTGTATGGAAAACTTTTTTATATGACAAGATATCTTAACTTGGTATAAATTTGTGTCCAAGATAATGCTACAATATCCGTACAATTTTTTTTAGATCGGAGCACTATAGCTGCAATAGAAATATTATTTACAAGAAATGCACCTGTAAAGGGTATATTAGCAATGTAGCCAAAGTAAACATTTTTCTTGTTTTTTTTTTAATTTTTTAATTCACAATATCTACGAAATAAAAGCTTTACTTTAAGCGTACAGCAACAAATTTTAACTGTGTGAAATGAATTTTATTATTATGTCAAAATTATCAAAAGTGTAAAGTAATTGTGTAGATATTTGTGTTCCTCGAAAGCTGTCAATGTCACCCGCCAATCGTCTAAGTTTTATTAATCAATCAATTCTATTGAAAATGAAGTAAGAAATGTTATTGTTGTAGTAATTTCTTTTTAAGTGTATGTGTTTGGCTACTTGTATATATATATGTTATAGAAGTTTTTTTGTGGTTTTTTCTTGAACTGTTGATCAAACACCCACAAACATTATGCATTTTTACAGTTCCAGTACAGTATTAATCTCTCAAAAATGTGTGTATTAATTTTATATTTGGAAAGAAAGTATTTATTTTCTCATACTGAATGTTTTAGCGGTTTTTCTAATATACATCCATCTAATACTATCTGATCAAAAACAAAAAAAGTGACGGTGAGCCAAATCTGGTGAATTCGGTTGCTGAGGTTGACTCTCGTTTCGTGTTTGTCCAAAGAGTCAGTCACAATCATCGTAAAATGTATGGAAAATCCATTTTCTGCCCACAAATCTAGTCGCTTAGTAGTATTCATTATTGACCGTTTGACCTTGTGGAACGAATTCATGGTGAGCATCACCTTGATTTTTGATTGACTTTGGCGTGGTTCATTTTTGGAGCGCCATTCGCTAAATTGTTGGTGAGCTTCGACGTCATAACGACATAAACCCACGTCTCGTCACCAGTAATGAGGAGTTTGGTGAATGTAGGGTTCTCAACTACGTTGTAAAATATCTCTTTTGCGACCTCTATTCGACGTAATTTTTGCAAAGATTCAGGTCTTTTGGTCTTCATACCCAAAACAATAACCCAAATGTGTTTAGTCGATCCAAAAGTGATTTTGAGATCCTCTGCTATCTCTTTGATGCTAACACGACCATTTTCCAGCTCTGTTACTTTAACTTATTCGATGTTATCGTCATTAACAGCGACGAATGAATGTCTCGCATGAGACACGATGTCTTCACGATCTTCATAGAAAGCTATGTACCATTCAAATACTTGTGTTCGTTATAAAGTAGACTCTTAAAACATTTCTGCAACATTTTCAACATTCCGTAACTGTAATTTCATACGAAACACAAAATGTCCAGTGAAGCCGTTGTAAAGTTTTTCCATGCTAAAGATCGGCAGACAAACCTTTCGCGTCGTAAACAGACAGCTATCAAACATATCTTAATTGACATATTGGGTTCAAATTTCTAACAAACATAAAAAAGATCTTCGGAATTTTTTGTTTTTTTTATCAATTTGGTTTTTATGGACCCTTCCGTGTCAAATTTGTTTAGATACATATAACAAGTCAACAAATATATTGACCCATATTTCAGAGCCTACGCTAGCTCTCATTAATATTTTTCATGTAACAAAACTAATATTTATCTCTATATTCAACTTTTTAAAATCGACTTTGTAAATTTGGTTTTTGAAAAAAATGGACTTGACTTTCAAGGTTCTTGGTTTCACACTAAAAGTTGTCTCAGAAAAACTATAAGCAGTTTTCAATTATGTGCCGCATCATTATTTGTTATTATTTATTTGCTTGATTATGCCAGTCTATGTGATTTATGCCAGTTGTGGTTCGATTCGCTACTCGTCAAGATATGGCAAAAGGAAAATTCTTAAACTACTTTTTATTACATTGTATAAATATCACATGGTACTCGTTTAGTAAATGTTAATCATATTTATGTTTTATTGTCACCTAATCTGCATGTGTTTTGCGCATATACTTGTATATACATATACATATATAATATATGTGCGCACACGACTATCGCATCCCACCGACGGCGCCTCGCAGCCTTTATGCTTAATCCCATGGCTGAGATAAATGACGCTGCTGATAATATAACATCGGCACTTTCGAATTTGGTAAACGATTTGAATGCAGGTAAATGCCATCTAAACCCACATATCCATACATACATACAGTTAGACTTCAGTACCTAACCACTGGCAGTGAATGATCCATGTGCACTTGTAGGCGCGTAAATGTAAACAAGTCATCATCAGTAATTTATTAGCTGCGATTTTTGTTTCATCGATACTTAGCTAACTTGTCAGCTTATCAGCGTTGCCATCTACACAAACCAACACCGCACATATTTATGTCTGTCGCAGTGACTTGTCAACTGGTTAGCTCACAAAAGCCACTCATTTAATTTGCTTCACGCACCTATCGAATTCGCATAACCTTTATGGCTAACGAAAATAATAAATAGAATTTCTATGCTTTCGTTCTTAAAATGGGTTGCACACTTTTTCAGGACCAACTGCGCTGCCCGCGCAACCTCGCTTTATTATGCCGCTCGGTAAGTTGTGTAGTTTGGTTTAGTAAGCTTTGGGATAATAAAGGCTATGCCTCGCTACAAGACATAGTTGCGGTGGTTGTTGCTTTGATAAGTTGCTACAATATGTTATATAATACGGTGTAATATTTAAATAATTCAATTTCAAAGATTACATAAAAATATTATAAGTCTTTAATTCGGTTAAAATCGTTGCACAGTGGGAAAAAAATGTATGAAAAGAAATTAAACACATTTTTTCCTTTAATATTACGATAAGTTCGTAAGAGTAAATTCTGTATGTTTTCATAATTTTTGAAGAATATTTAATTAATATGTTTCAAAACAAAAAATAGGAAGAGGTTAACTGCAAACCAGACTTCAATTGTGTTGATTCGACCATAAACATTTTACTAACCGGTCTTACAATAGTCGGGTTTACGTAACCGGAACAAACACAAATTTTAACTGTACACACGGCAGAAATACAATTCCCTTCGAACAGTAACCACATTCTGGGTAACTTCTCTGTGAATACATAGTTACGACCTAATCTCAAAATCTTAATATTTCGCTATTCTTAAGAGATACACTTGCCAGTCATGAAAATCATGTGTTTTTGTGAATTTGTTTTTTTGAAGAAGCATTTTATTTAATAAATAAATAAAAAAAATTACATTTACAGAATTTAATGTACTTTAAGGGAGGAGGGTGTTTTGGTCTAGACGCCTTAATTTTAGTAATTTTTCACACTAAGACAAAAAAAAAGAAAAACATTTTTACCACCCATTATTTATATAATTTTTATTCACATTTAAAAAATATAACAGGCTGGTGGAGTGGGGGCTGCAAAAAACTGTGCCTCCTGGTTGACGTGATTTCAACCCTTGTAGTGATCTAAACCAAACAAATAGAAAAGATTCTTCATTAGTAAAGCTGGCGCTGTCGGATTGACCTTTGCCAAAGAAAAAAACCCAAAATCGCGTCGACTTCAAAAAAAATTTTTGCTACCTTTTTTTTGACCTTTTCGAATTTTTTAAAAATGCTTAAAATTATAATTTTCCCAAATCCGAGATAAGTGCGATAGAGAGATGTATCTCAAAGATTTTTATCAAATTTCAACTATTTAAAAAAAAAATGGTTTCGAGAAAAACACATTTAAGGTTTCCTCGTCCAGTCAACCGGTCCAGTTGCCACGATGCTAAAACGGCTATAACTATGGCAATAATTCCAATTTTTTAAAAATCGATTTAGGGGGATATTTTTATATATTTGAAGGTCTTAACTTAAAAATTATGCCAAAAAAAATTGATTTATTTAAAGTTCTAGGCCAGAATACTAACTTAATAATCGGCGATTCATTTGAAGAAATTTTGAATTCCTTTGATCCCTTTGGGAATATCCAGGAAGTCCTTCTAAAAAAGTGACACGCAGTGAGAAACATTTTTCTGTTTAAAATTATCTCAAATCCCCAAAAAAAAAATTTATTACTACTGATGAATTCAAATAATAATCGAAGGAAGTCCAATTTGTTTCTTTTTTTTAAATTTACACTTCAAAGTGGCTTAAAAAATCGAAATTATTTTTAAAAAAATTGTTCCTTCCATCATCATTTGACAAATCTATCTAAGATGGTCCTGCCGTTTGGGAGAAATTTTCCCTACCGACTCTGAAAACAGAGTCAGCATCTTGGACCACCGTCTTCGAATTAATGATCCACTGTGCAGCGAGTAGGAAGAATAGCTACGCATTCATACAAAAATTTATAAATTTCATCAATACTAAACACAATGCATACGCATCCGTTTTAAAGGCAAACAGATGAAAACAGCAATTCTTAGAATTTTCACCAAAACAACTTTTCCTATGCTCTCAACTTTATTTTAGACTACTTTCCTAATAGACGACGTAAAAAGCATTGCAATTGTAAAAATACAAATAACGACTTATAACTTCTTCCATTCTTTACCTAACTCTTTACCGAACTAACTACTACAAATAAACGAAAAAAAAATACAACCACACACATACAAACATACGCGCATCTAAATGTGACCTCGCCTGGCATTTTTTTGCGAATTGTGTCAAACTTTTTGATAAACAACTTCATTTGCAAACAAAATCATAAAAAAATAAAAAACAACATAAAAATACAAAAACAAACCAACAAAAAATAGATATGCGTCACGTTGTGGGTGGTGAATCAACGCCAATCGATGAAGTGATGATTGGCGCATCATCGACGGCGCCGAATGATAATGCAGATGTTGATGAAGAGGAGCGTCGTCTCTTTGAGAATGTCTTCCAAACCGATGAAGAGTACAAATGGTTGGACGAATGCGAACGTCGTACACGCAGTCAGCGTATTATGTGCTACAAACATTATCCTGACTTTTTAATTGACGATGAGCAAGCCGGTTTTCCGGCGCTACACGAAATTGGCGAGACTATCGATGAAATGCAACTGATTATGCATGCGTTGATTATGAAATATAGTATGAGCTTGTGAAGTGTTCCTTTGCCACTGCTAAGAGTTTATTTTTGAAGGTAAAATGTGTAGAAAATGGCCAGAAGTTAGATACATAAATGGTAATGAAATTTAGAAAATATTATTAGTTGAATTATTTAGTATATACGTATGTACATTTGTACATATAGGCGTGTGTATCATACCGTCTATATATGTATGTACATACATCCGTCCTCATAGATCTTTCATCTAAGAGAGTTAAGGAAACCAATTTTAGTTATTAATAATTTTTTATAAATTGGTTCTTTAGAAAAAAAATTTAGTTTATATTTTTTAAATTTTTTTTTTAATTTTATTTTGTAATTTTATTTTTTATTTTGTAATTTTTTTTTAATTTTTTAAATTTTTTTATACCCGGAACTGGGTACATTAAGTTTGTCACGAAATTTTTAACAATCAGAGGGAAACGTCGAAGGCCCTATATGGTACTATTATTATAAGTATTTATTTTACACATTTCAAAAACAAAAATAATTTAATATAAATTAAAGTATTATCAGCAGACAACTTTTTAAGGAACTGTCAGGAACTTCAATTGACAATAAAATAGAAATATACAATTATTATAACTAAAAATATATTAGGTCAAGTAAAAAGTTCGTTCGGTTTTTATCTAAGAGATGGCGTTATTGTCCATAGTACTCGTGTTACGTGTCGCATCATGTCATACTATACGGTTGAAATTTTGTTGCAAAACGTCCCCATATCTTTTTTTTACCACCTCCGTGTTCGATCGTGTTAGTTAGTTGTATATCGGGGACTCATTTCAGCATTCTTTGGACATCGAACCCAAAATTTTCTTTCGTTACCTTACATATTTATTAAACAAAAGCACACTTTTGTTTAATTTAAACACAAAGATAACAGTAAAATGTAACAAAGCTATCATCATGGTGTTTTAAAAGATAAATATTGTAGAAATCGATTACAGGCAAAACGAATCGGAAATCTATCCGACAAATAATACAGATTGTTAATTATTTCGAAACCATCAATTTGATTCTAGTCTGTCATTCAGTGCAGTCAGTAACTATGTATAAAGGATCAACGTGACAAGCTGTGGCGATTTAGTCATGTTCGTATGGCTCTCTGTCAATCTGTCTGTCCTTCTGTATTTACGCGAACTAGTCCCACAGTTTTAGGGAAACCGATCTGAAATATTGCACTTGTCTTTTTCTCCTCAAACAACTGCTCATTTGTCGGAACAACTAACTATGATATTGATATGACTATTTAGCATATAGCTGTCACACATACTGATCGATTAAAATCAAGTTCTTGTATGAAAAACTATTTTTTATTTGACAAGAAATTTGGTAGGATTATTCCAAGACAACGATACAATCTCTGAACAAATTGTTCAGATCGGATGACTATAGCATATATGTACATACGTATGTATGTACGTTGCCATACAAACTGATCGATCAAAACCAAGTCCTTGTATGTAAAACTTTTTTTATTTGACGAGAAAACTTTATGAAATTGGCTCATAGCTGTCATACAAACTGACCGCTCAAAATCATGACAAAGATCTTTTTATAGACTTTTATGCTATAAGAAATGCACATGTGAGGAATATTATAGCTTCAGTGCAGCCGAAGTTAACTTATTTTTTTGTTTTTATAAGTCGGCTCTTTAGTAAAAATTTTGTTTCTTTGTTTTTACTTTTATACATTATTATTATATATTTTTTTAAATTTTTTTTTTTTGTTTTTATTATAATTTGTATCTTTTTTTAAATATATTCTTAAAGTTTTTTTTTTAATATTTTTTTTTTAATATATTTTTATTTTATTTTTTTTTTGTATGTTTAATTTTTTTAATGAAATTTTAATGCCTTTTGTTTACCATTATAACTGGTAGGTTGCTAAAAATCAAATAAATTTAACATATTCATGATTACATGTGCTACGCACACATACATTTACGTGTAAGTAAGTTCTTGCATCAAAAGCTATTGTGCTACTTATCTCATCGCATAGCAATGAGTGCTCACTGTGATGCTCATAACCACTGCATTTTGCGCTTACTTAGTTTAAGTAGTAATTTGAGTATTATAAGAGTTAATACTTACTAGCGTGATTTGTGTGTTTGATAATGTTTGTCCAGAAAACTTACAAAAGTTTGCTGAATAACAACTCTGTATTATGCATTGCATTATAATCATTATTATTATATAAAAATTTGTCACGAGAACTCATAGAATCATGGCTATAAACAAAAAAAATCGTAATGCCTTGAAATTTGTATATATTTTAGTTATAATATAGGTATATACTATTTACAGGCATACATATGTACATTAAAGTATATAATCATTGAAATTTCTACAAAATATGGGTATGCTTTGATATTTAAAACGTTGAAGATGAAAAAAAATAGTTTTTTTTATTGCTAATACATTACAAACTTAGTAAAGCTATATAGCTTTAAAATTGTTTACGACGTTTCAATATTTAATGCACTCTTTTACACTCCATTTTACATTACACTGCGATTTTACAGACTTTGATGAATCGCAGACTTATAGCAATGAATGGAACGTTAAGGTAAAGAATTGTCAATGTAAATTAATCAAAAAAAAAAATTATTTTTATTATTTACAATAACCAGCCAAAAAAAAAAAAGATAATTTAAAGGTGTGTCCAAAGAAAACCGAACTTTTTGGATATAGAATAAAATGCACATTATATAATTTTTGCAAGTTATTATTATTTCAAAATAGGTTGCATTAGACTCAATACAACGTTTGGAACGATCAACTAGCGCATGTACCGATTTTTGATGTCGTTTATAGAAATGTTCTTCAGCACCGCGGTTACGGCTGCTTGAATGACTGCAATATCATCATAAAATACTTCTTTCATGTTGGTTTTCAGTTTTGGAAATAGAAGATACAGAGAAAACCTTTTTTCCAACAAAAACTCGTTCACTTTTTTGGTCTTCATTTAATTTATATGGAACAAAACGCGCACAGACATTTCTTTTACTCAAATCGTCAGTTAAAATCTCCAAATAGTTTTTTTTACTTGTATTTAATCCTTCAGCCAACAATTTCGTAGTAAAATTTGCAGCGAAACCAATAATTTTCTTTCAAGCAATTCACTAGCTTTTGGAATACCTGATTGTTATTTAAATCCTCACGACCATCTTTAAATCGTGTAAACCACATATAAACTTGAAAACAACTCAAACAATCATCAGTTTAAAATTTAAAGTTCGGTTATTTTTGGGACACTCTGTATGTATATTAAACTATTAAACAATGTTAAAATAAACCATGTTTCGTCTCCCTTACCATACTAGTTGCAGTCCTCTTGTTCTTTCACCCATTTCTGCTCACAACTCGTTAGGACAACCTGTAAACATGTCTTAGATGCATTTCAGTCAGTCGCTTAATTGAGTCGATTGGCATTTTATTGCCTAATATCGTGCAACCAGATAATTGCCGAAATTAACTGACTGCCTGAAAGGTCTTTTAAATATAAAAAAATCGCAATACTCATACTCGAACTTGTTTTAAATTGCAAAACTAAACCACATATTCATTTAAGTATTCTATTTAAATATTATGAAATAAAAAACTCAAATTATAGTCTAAGCCCTTCATTATGCCTTACGTAGTTAACGCATTAATTGTAAATACGATCATTAGTTGGGTATAAATAATAACAAAATTACTATTGTTAGTATTGTTGTATGAGTTTGTATGTTAAAATGATAAATTTTAATATTTATTGCTACTTTTTCTCGCTCTCTTCCAGACAAATGCGAGTAATCACTGGCAGGAACAGTTTGCCCAATGGCGTTTACAATTTCAAAATGACTAAAAGCCAACAAAGGAATACCAATAATAAAATAATAGTGGCGGCGGAGCGATTACGTTTACATTTTTTAATAAGATTTATTTAAACAACAACAAAGTCTTTACAACTACTTACAAAGGAAGAAAAGTTAAATAAAAAATAAATTAATTAAAATTAAAATAAAATGCTGAAATAAAAATATATTCGTAAATATAATATTACATTATATTACGTGAGGGAACTATTTATTTACTTTAATTTAATTATAAATATGCAAATGTGCGAAGTTGAACATGAATATAATATTAGTATGCTTTTTGAGTGTAATATTTAATTTTTTTTTGTTTTTGATAAACGAATGCTAACTTAATTGCAAGTGGTAACAAGATGTACTTACTTATAACTTATTAGTCTAATCATTGAGCAGTAAAACAAAAAGTAAATACTTGTATTAAATTAAGACATGCTAAAATAAAGACTCATAAATTAATACAACAACTGCATATGTGTATGATGAAGCTATAGTAAAAAAAAAAAAGCAAAAAACCTAAACAAATTGATATTCTAAATTTAAAAGCTTGTATTAATTTTAATTAAGCAAATTTTTAATGCTGAAAATGCAGCAAAGTTGTATGGAAGACGTTTTGAAGGGCTAAAATAGTTGAGATTTGCTTGAAAATGTTTTTGCTTTATTATTTTTTGTTGGTGGCTATTATTATAATTATATGGAAAATTGTATTTTGTTGTTTTTGCTATGAACACCAAGTGTATGTTAGAATAAAATTGTATGTATTTGCAACATTATGCTACAAGTGTAGACGAGATTTTTTTTATGTTTGGCATAAAATGAAAAACATTTATATTTAAGATGTACCAGTGTACTCAAAATTGAATGTAATAAACAAACTATTTACTATTTTATCGATTTTAATTAAATGGTGTTAGTTTTTATAACTTGTATTTAAAGAAGCGTAGCTAAATTTTTGGTTAAAAATATTTCAGAATAAGTATAAAAAAATTTAAATATGAACTGAGTTTTCAAATGTAAGCGCGCCTAAAAGTGTGCTTGCAAATTTTTTAATTTCGTATATTTAGTTGGTTGTGCTAATAATATAGTTTGTTTGCGAATATTGAATAAAATTTTTATAACATGAGGTTTTGAAATTAAATTGTTTTTTCTTTTTTCATTTTAATTTTATATTTATATTTTTTATTTTATCTTTTGTAGTTTTTTATATCATATTAATTTTTGTTGCTTGTTTTTAAATTTTTTATATTATTTTCATTTTTGTTGCTTGTTTATTATTTTTTTTATATTATTTTTATAATTTCATTTATTTTTTAATTATGTTTTTAATATTTAACTATAAATTTTTTTTGTTAATATTTGTTTGGTATTACAATTTTTTTTGAAATATGTTTGTTTTAATATATTTTACATTTTTAAATATTTTTTTCATGTTTTTTTTTAATTTTGGTTTATAGTGTTTTTGTTAATTTTTTTTTTGCTTTTCTGTTTTTTATATTGGTTTGCTTTTTTACTTTTTTAAATATATTTTTTATAATATTTTTTTATTTCTTTAAATTTTTTTTATTTATATCATATTTATTTAATTTTGTTACTACTACTACTGTTTTATATTTTTTTTTTACGATTTTTTTTTATTTTTATTTTTCTTTTACATTTTTTAATATTTTTGTTACTTTTATAATTAAACCTTTTTTTGATTTTTTTTTTTAATTTTTTTTTGAAAATAATTTAATTTTTTTTGTTTTTGTTAAATAATTTTTTTTCATTTATAGATTGTGATTTTCTATTTCATACAAATGCATGTTTTGTAATTTTTTACGGCAGTTTAAATCAATTCATATGATATACATATGTATATGAAGTGTTTTATACAATGATAAAGCTTTAAAGTCATTTTAAAGTATTTTTTAGAAAATACTTTGATCAAATTTTAACAGTAAATACACAGTGAAACCATAATGTTCTTGTTATGCATATAATTTTTTTAAAGTATTTTTGTTAAAGCTTTACAATTCTTGCCGATTTAATTTAAAAGCAAAACTGAAGTATAGGCATTTGCTAAAATTAAAACAATTTTATAAAAAAAATGTCCACCAACATGTTTCAGGCAAATCTTATTTAGCCGTTCAATACGCCTGCGCAGCTGTAACACACACACATACACACACACAAACACATACAAATGTATTATTATTGTAGCTACCAAAGTTTGCAGTCTACACGGGTCCAAGAAAAAACTTAAAAATTTGTACTTAAAATATGAAACAAACAGGAATAAATATTATATATGTATAAATATAGACTTTTATGGTGTGTAGTATATGCGGGTTCAATATTACAATATTTTACGGCTAATGCTCGTTAAAACAAAAATGGTAAATTATATGAAGAAAAATAAACACTAAAGTTGAAAGTTTTAAAAGCGTTATAACTACATACATACATACATACTACACATAAACTTACATACATACTTATTAAATTTGTGAGCATACAAACAAAAACATATACATACATTCATTAAAATTACGTGCTTATATACATATACATATGTATATATATACATATATAGTATATATAGCACAATAATCCAGTTTTACAAATTAATAAAAATAAAATAACACATAAATGCAAGGGATAAATTAACAACTTTGCATTTGTAAGCGAAAAATAAAAATTAATTTGTTGTTGTTTTCTTTTACCATTTAAATGCAAAAGAGTGTGGGTGAGTAAATTTGCAAATAGGGATAAAAAATTGTTTTATTTTCAATTGAAAATATTTGGTATGCTATGGCTAGGGTACATACATTTTTATATTAAGTTTGCCACGAAGTTTGTTACACCTAGCGGGAAACGTCTGTCTGTCCGCCTGTATATACGCGAAATAGTCCCACTACACGTATGTACAGTACATAGCTGCCATAAAAACTGATCAATCAAAATCAAGTCCTTGTATGAAAAACTTTTTTATAATTTAATAAGCAAGCATTTTTCGAAATTTTAATTCTTCTAATTATCTTACCCGTGCTACCTTTATATATGTACATATCTATGTACTTTAGGGCGGGTAAAATACAATCGAATATTTTTTTTCGCTGGTGCTTCTTAAGATAGTCTCTCCAAGTATGAGAGGATATTTGTATCTATCTTATTATCAGATAGAAAAATTCAAACTCGCTTCCAACAACTTGCAAACATATTTCGAGAGCAGTAAATTTCCTACAAACCTGTGAATTTTGAAATATAAAATAATTTTTTTTTCATTGAGTTATAAAATTCCTGTTTTTCAGAGTACCAAATACCGAAATTTAAAATTTTTTTGACCCACCCTTGTATTATATATACCATTATATGTACCATATGTAAGCATACAAAGTTGATAAATAAAACGTTATTTTATTTTTTTTTTGTCGTATTTTCCAACAATTTATTTATATATTAAATATTTGCAGCGAATAAATTTCCTTCATTTAATACATTTATATAAATACAAATATAAAAATATAACGGTGTTCCACAAAAATCTTTATGCAACTGATTTTACAAAAAAATTAAATATAATTTTTAATGCAAATGAAATATATAGGTCATTACTTTTGATCTTAACTTGATTTATTCGATTTAACAGTCTGAGAACATTGGAATATAATATAATAATTGATCATTAAGTTCATAATAAGGCACGTGCCTTATAATAGCATTTGAGTTTTTTTTAGTTTCAACATTTTTCTAATACAATTCGATCAATCAACAATATCATAAGCATGCTTACGCATTACATAATCAACATTATCCGCTTAATTGAGTGCATTTTGTGCGCCACTACTGTACATAGATACAAACATTTTGCTTTTAACTTTAATATTTAGTGCTCAACAGGTTATCGCGTACAACGATATATTATATGTTATACATTTAGACAACAAAGACCTCGAACTCCTTGTAGGCAAGCTCCTCGCCGCCATATGGAATGTAGCAGCTTCCGTGAGATGGCTGTATTTTGCCCACCGTGATTGTGCCGTCGTGTGTGGCGCGACCAATGAACAGTGGTTCACCTTCGGCGGTTTCGCCGGCAGGGAAAGCGTTAGGAGGAATGTTGCCGTCCTGTACGGGCAACCATTGGCCAGCGCTCGAGCAGAGTACCTCGTAGTCAGCATGGCCGTGTTCGCCGCCACCCCATGCCACATAGCAGACACCATGTGATGGATGCAATTTGCCGGGAATGAGATCGCTCTCGTGTCGGGCACGTGCTATGTACAATTGTTCGGCGCCATCAAAGCCACCCTCAACAGCAGAGGGTGGTACGGTGCCACCGGAGGCCGGTACCCAACAACCTGGGCCGCTGCCGCATGGTGGAGCAAAGCCCAAAACTGGAGCGCTAGCTGGTTGAGCTTCTGTAGTGTTCGCAGAAAATAAAAGCAATAAGCAAAAATATACATTACTGCAATGTAATGCAAGAGATATTAAATGTATTTAAATTACCATCGATGATCCAAGAGCCGCTGGCACCCCAACCGGTACACACGCCCACAAAGTTAACCGGGAATAAGTTTTGCGCATCGTACGACAGGAAAGCTGCTGCCTCACCCTCACGGCCGACAGTGATGACGTTATCGTACCAACGTATCCAGAAACCACGGAATTCACCAGCTTCCAAAATACCGGGTGTATGCACTTCTACAACATCAGGCTTCTGGCGATCTTTCCTGATTACCGATTTGGTATTCTCCCAGCCGCCAATGAAGATCTCATACATGGGATCTGCTTCCACGGGTGCTGAGGTCAACGCCAAATGGGCATCGTGTGCGGCACGCACTTTGAATGTGAAAACACCGCCGGAGACGGGATGGAATTGGTATTCCAATTTGTCGGGAGTGGTGATTTCTGTAAGAAGTTTACATAAACGAAAGAAGGGCGATTAATTAATGGCTTAGCATAGGATTTGGCTCAAATTGTTATATTTTATTATCTGGCTTTTATTATTGTACTATTTCCTTAGAATAGAAATTAGATGAGGTTTGCACCGCGACCTAGGGTCTATTCTGCCTTATTTTGTGTATTATTTTCTTACTCTGTTTGATAATTAAAAAAAAAACAAGTCACTAATCTCATAATTGTATTCTATTCTGTCAGTTAATAACTCCTGATTGTAGATAAATCAACTTGTTCGGCTTTTGAAGCGACAATGTAACGACTATCGCTTAAAAGCTCGAGTTAAGCATTTGTATTTGGCGCTGACATGTCTTTGCTTATTAAATTTACTGCACTGGTGAAGCCTGTAGACATTTTGTTGCTAAATACTCTGTGACATCGTTTTATTTTTGTAATTTTTGACGTCGAAACTGTCCAACAATCTAACGAATGGCGCTCCAATAAATGAGCCGAAACCGACAAAAAAAAAACAAAGTTCGCTGAAGGCACTGAAAGCCGTCCCAGCCGAAGCTTGTGTGAACATGTGTATGGAAAATTGGATGAAGTATTGGTAGGCTTGTATTGGTTCTTATAGGCTCTTATTTTAATTCCAGTTATAAAGGTTTGTATTGAAATACGTAAAAATGTAGTTTTTTTGGAAGCTTTGGTTAAATCTGATCAGATGGTATGTGGAAAGAATGATTACTAATTGACTATACGGTTAATTTCAGCTCACGGCTAATTTCCACTTTTACTGCTAATTTTATAAAAACAAAAAAAATAATAAAGAGCTTATAAATATGAAAAAAAAAATATTTCGAGACAGTTCAGCAACCTGCATAACATTCTTATGAAACAAAAGTTTAGTCCTTGCACAAAGTTTCAGATTCAAATTTTATCTCGAAATGCTGCTGATGGGTTACGAACCATAGATATTTAGTTAGGCTCCGAATTGCCGTTTTATCCCTTAATTGAGTCAATTATCAAGGCGTTTAAGTGTAGACAATTAGGTAATTAACTCAATTTAGATACGATTTTTAATTATCCGAAATCTGTGCAGACGAAGAATACTGAAATTTTTGCGATATTTAAGCGACTGCGCCAAGTCACAGCGAAATCGCTGGAAAGCCGTTAAGCTCGCAAAGCAAGCTTATCAAAATCCTATCAGACTGGGAATGAGTCAGTGTTTTCCTACCCTCTTGCGGTCTGGCATTAGATTTAT